GCACACATGATCGTGGCTGTCGCAAGGCTTCTTGGTCCACAAGAATGATCTCCATATAGGCAGTGCTGGTAGGGGCTGGGACAGGGGTCTGGGGGTCGGGCAGGACTGATAGAGGGTTGATCTGGATCATCCACTCGGTATTGGGGCACTTACAGAGGAGAGATAGAAAAGAACATTTTTTTTAAATTTAAGGGGATTGATTTTCATTTCTGTGCATTACAAATCATATGAAATCACATAGCCAGCAAAATTCTTATCGTGGTCTCTCATACTATTATAGCAGTCAGAGACATGGGAGTTTCCAATACTTATTTTTAGACCTGTTTCTCAGTTGATGTACCGAGTCATTGGGAATCCCTTTTGATAAAGTAATTCCAGATCGGATGTTTTCGAAAAATAACATTTAATTTTGATTCCTAGTCAGCCTATGACAAATTGTAATTGATTCATTTACTATCATAGTTTATAAAGGTGATTCCAGGTGCCAAAAGAACAAGTGAGTATGGTTCAATCCCGCTTTCAGCAATATTCCAGCAATATCAGACAACAGACACCAGAAACTGGCTTCACACATTTTACCCATGTAGGGAATCGAACGTGGCCTTTGTCATGAGGAGCTATAGCTTTAACCACAAGCCTACCCCGCCGCCCCAGGGGTCAAAAGAGTATGAGTTAACAATGTCATAGTCATGCTACTTAGGCCTAATTGTTTAATATGGGAATAGTTTGTGTATGCTCCCTACAAATGACCTACTGGGTTGGGAACAGGAAGAACTGTTTGGGAGACTGCCTTGGGAAATCCTTTCATGTGGAGCTTGTCTTGACCTGTGGGAAAAAAACAAAGATTCCGTAATATATATATGGTACACATGTATTATACCGGTGTCGGGACACCTATCCGCCATGTTTGTTTGCTGGTACAAAGAAAGCCCAACGCGACAGCATCACTATTTGAGGGCCCCAATAAAGTTCAAAATAAGCACAAAAAATACCCCCATCCCCACCCACACCCACACCCCTTTAATGTGTATGGTTTAATATGATTTAACCTTGAAATTGAATATCAAAGCGATGCATAAACGACGAAAGAGGGGGTCGATCTAAACAGGTAGTACCAGCACCATTTATTGTTGTGTTCGTAGTCTATTCATCTTACGGCAACAGAATACAGAGACTATCGTAATTCGTGTTTAAAACATTGAAAATTGCAGCAGAAAAACACAAACATTAAAGAACACAGAAATATACCTTGGTGGTAGACCCTGGCAGCACTTGCATACATGGCGCAGGAATCAGCAGATGGAAGAAACACAGAGCGAAATAAGAGCAGAGACGTGAGATTTGCTACAGCAATAAACAGCAAAATGGCGTCGTTTGTGTAGACAACGGTCGCTATGGAGATGGTGCTAATCTCGAGTTGCTTCACGTTATCAAGTCTTGTTCATTCCAAATAAGGATGTACTCTCCTGATAAACTAGTTCTACTCTTGGTTTGCACTGAAATGTGGCGCTTTTAGCATATATGTAGACAGGTTAAAACTTTGAATAATCTTAAAACCTACTGTCTCGTGCGTGCAGTATCTACGGAGACAGTTTCACTTGGGCCCAAAATACCGTTCTTTGTGGCATTATGAAATATCTAACATATGTTGCTGTATTCTAAAACTGTTAGTTCTTTCTACACTGGTTAAGTCGGTAGAGATTTATTGTAACGTTACATAAAATATTTTTGATACTGCATCAAATTGATGGACTTTTCCATAGTAGGTGATACATTATAAGGGAATCATCATATTATAGTTTTGTCTGAATTGTTGACAGCACAGCAACATATGGTACCTTTCTTTAATAGTTCGGATATTGGACTCAAAACGACATACACAGGGTCTCTTATGCCGTGGAATATAAGAAATTCTTCCTTTTTTCAATCAAGTAAAATCATTTTAATTATACGTTTGTAAATATGAGGTGAGGTGAAAAGGTAATGCCGGTTTTAGTCTCATACCATGCCGCAGTTTAACATGAATACCCCACTCAGACACTGTATACTGACTACTAGTACTATTACCTTGCTTGAGGGCTTAGAAAGGGATCTGCTGAATCCAATCCCACACCACAATAACATATGGTACGACATAATAGAAAGATAGATCGTTCTTTCTCTAAAAGATAAATAAAAATCGAACAGAAAGTACCGAAGAACAAATTATCAATTTAAAATTTAGATTATTTTGCGTTGTCGCTCGTGCGCGCGCTTTGACATCGGACTTGTACTGAGAAGTGCACAAGCCGAGATATAGAGATTTTACGTACGCATCTGAGATGAACCAAGAGGACATTCCATTTTCGGACGATTATGATTTTGAAAGTTGTAGACGTGGTAGATACTAACAGAGACGACAAATCAGTATAGACACAACATGTATGTATGACGTTCCCTTCCCTGCCCCGAATAGCCAACGGTTTCAATCGTAACTCACTACTAGGCACAATGATCAATCAGAATGAATCGGTAACGTTATGATAAGTGATAATTGAAGTCAAACGGAAACGTTCCGAATAGTCAGGACGTTGTCATATTATTACGTACACTTGTGTTATAACGAGGTCGTATAATGACACAAAATCTTGGCACGTGGTATGGGTATCTTCCCAAAATGCAGACCCCTTTTAAAGCAGAACTCTCAAAATGCAGAGCAGAAATTGCATGGGTTCCTGGCGTTTTCAAAGGTCGCAACTCTGCATAGCAAATTGCGGCGCCTTAGAGGAGTATGTTGCCTCTTGTGCTGAAGGAAAGATCAGAATTCGTTATTACAATGTGAACATTCGCGTTGTGTGGGCTCGAGGACAGCCATGGGAAACTAGGTTATCGCCCGAGAAAAGTCATCTTTTCCGGTGAATGGAGGATAGTCTTGGAAAGACAATTGCGTGTGTGTTTAAGAGACAGGCCGGCGGAGAGTACCTCCCCAAGTGTAGTCACCGTCGACATCCCTGAGTCAGTTTGGTGGTCTGGGCCTGTATCACCTGGCATGGTGTGGGAAAAAAACATGTTTAGAACACTCGATCGTTTGTTTGTTGTTTAACGCCGCGCTCAGCAATATTAAAGCTATATGACGGCGGCTTGTAAAAAAATCGAATTTGGTCCAGACAATCCAGTGATTGACATTATGGGCAGCGATCTACGCACTTGGGATACGATGACATGTATCAATCAAATCAGCTGGCCTGACCACCCGATCCCGTTAATCGCCTCTCACGAGCATGGGTTGCTGATGCCCAATTCTAGCCATCTTCACGGGACCGACAGGTATCGGTACCTATGGATTGATTGTACTGTTTTTATGATTTCCTAATCTGTACGTACCGAACAAAAAAAAATTTTAAATTGTGTAATCAGATGACCACACAAGATCAATGAAGAATAAATAAGTTATTTTGAGGCACACAATTTCAGGTTCACAAATAGTAGCAGCTAGCTATAAAAAGTGACAGGCACAAACTGCCCTGTCCCGAAATGTCTCGAATGATCAAGGCTGCCATGTTCATGTAACAAGTGGCAGATAACTCTTAACAGGAGTATGAAGCCCTCCTGGAAAGCCGAATGTGCTGCTGTTGACTGCAATTGATATTGTTTACGTGTATACCAATATTTTGCTGCCACTGACATTTACTACAAATATGTGTACACATAAACTACTTACTTGTACCACTGCACACGGATGTCTCTCTATATGGCATAGTCTAAAGTAGTATTAGCACGGATAATGTTTTGTGGAAAAGGAGGGGCGCATTCGGTGATCAAATCCAACTGAAAATGTTTGATTACTGCAGAAAACAACCATAAAAAAATGTGATAGTATTGTATATGTCTACAATAAATAACCCGGTCATCTATAAAACTTTCCACTGAATTAAATAATCAATGTGGACAGAGCGTCCGCCTTGAGCGCAGAAGTTAGGTGTTCGATTCTCGACTGCCTCATGCCGAAATACCTTAAACGATGGTAAGTGCCCTTACCCTTCCTGGCACTCGGCATTAAGTGAGAAAGGAAGGACTGGTCGGCACGGAGTCCGTGCTCCAGTTCCTGCTGCTTGATTGATACTATGCCAGTCGAGTGGAGTTTGTATACCACTTTCACATAAATTAAATGTGAGCGAGTATGGTTTTGCGACGCTTTTAGCAATATTCCAGCAATATCACGGCGGGGGACACCATCGTACCCATGTCGGGAATCGAACCCGGGTCTTCGGCGTGACGAGTGAACGCTTTAACCACTAGGCTACCCAACCGCCCCATAAATCAAATGTAGAAACATAACCCTATATTGGGTACATTTTTACGTACTTGAAATCATACAATACAGGCATCTAAACATCAGTCAAATTAAAGTTAACATTGAAAGGATCAGAACCACTGATAACAAGACTTAGTTACAAAAAAAGTAAGCACTTTTCTTTTTATAAAATCCAAAGTCTGACCTAAATACTAAATATTAACAATTTTGTACAGGTTCAACAGAGGTTGTCATGTATTGTGGTCAGTTCTGTATAACCTGTATTGTGAGACCTTGTTACTAGTTTTGATTTAAGGTGTCTCATTACTTTTTTTATACTGAGCGTTTAACTGAAAAACGAACCAAACATACATGATCATGTTAAAACACATGTCTTTCAGAAAGTTTCAGTTATTTATTTGTCTGAACTAAATTTAAAATACAAGGCTTCCGTTCGCATTTGACTTTTGTTACAATTATCGTGATCTGTGTGGGTTTGTTGTTTTACATCTTCCCCACTGGCAACATTATCACTGCTCTATCATGGTGCTCTGTAAGTCATGGAGCCAGGCAACCAGTGGCTACTTGATAGTTTGATCTATTTGCCAACCAATGAGGTAGAAGGACACACAATCAGCTTCAGTCACAGGCCTTGGTCACACAATTCCCACTTAGATCTTTTAATAAACTTTCAAAAAGTGTGTAACTAATCACAACAAAACATTCCTAAAGAGGTATAAAATAACTTTATTGTGAGCAGCATAACACAGATATAAACTTCATGATGTACGAATTATGTCCCTTAAAGCCATCTTCTCGGCCTTCTGTCATCTCTGAGGAACAACTCATAATCACTGGAAACCTTACACATAGACTGGTTCATAAACCACAACAGATTGTCAAGATGTGGACATAAATATCAATCCATATTATAATCTATCTTAAAAAAGCATCAGCCTTACGATATTTCAAATACTTATAAAAATACTGCTGGACAGTATTTCAGAAATATTTCTTGGTAATAGCATCCTTCTTCACCATCACACAGCTTTCAAAAGTGACAGTTATGCCATTTAACATATTATTTAGTACATTATATCATATACATGAAAAGAAAAGGAGGGATGAACTGCCCAATCTCCTTGCAGTATCCCTACTTATATACACAAGTATATATATAAATGTCAAAATGTTAATCTTTTTCTGATTCCAATTCCCATAACTACAATAGGGCAACAAACAAGTTTCAAGTTCTCTATGTACAAAAAGGGTATCATTCTCGTACAGACATGAACCAGTTTATGTGTGAACAACAAAACCCCACGCCAAGTAAATGTTGGTGAGTTGTGTTGGTGCATGGGTAACAAACAGGACTACCACCAACTGGTTAAGGGCAAAAAACTGACCTGACCTGTGAGGGTCCAACACATCAAGAAAAGGCTTCTGGTATCAACAAACCCTACAAACCAATCTCAGTATGTAAGAAATAAATTACTATTGGTATCGAAATGAAATACATTGAGCAAAATAAATAAAATGGCAATGAAGTTAGAACACAGTGCCTCTTCCTTAACTACAGACTTCTTAAAAACTCAAATAAATATCACACATACATCACATTTGTGGGAAGAAAATATATTTGCTCCAAAACAACTATTCAGTTAAACCTCAATGAACAACACAATAGTCAACACACAATCTCTCACAGCCTAGTGATCATAACAACAGGATTTAACAGTCAATATATGTGGATATTCAGCCTCTGAAGCATTCAGTGACAACATTCTTCAAATTCCCTTGCAAAAAATACAGCAGAAGTTCCAAATTTCTTTTAAAAATTACGCAAGATATAGATTTGTCTTTTCCATTTGAGTGAAATGAAACTACTCATGCAATCTTCTCAATATTTCATAGTTATTGAACAATAATACCATTGAAAGCAGTACTATTGTATCAATCAAACAAAAAGGCATATTCAGCAATTTCTGCAAAGAAAAGTGAAACTTCGGCAAGTATATTCAGAATTACAGAATCCTTCAGAGACTGAATAATAAATAACTACAGCATCAAGATCCTTTCACTGCATTATCTCACAACATGGGTTTATCACAAAGAGGTTTTTGTCAAACGAAAACATTTCGCTCTCTACCAAATCAGAATACATAACAGTTTCCCCATTTTTATTGCTTTTTTTGCTTTGAGATAATGATTATAGTTGATCTATCCATCACTGCACCAAGCATAAGGTTACATTTTGGACAACACTGATGTTGTTTAATGATTTTTACTTGTACGCAAACACGAAACCTTCTATAGATACAAGATGTTGTGTTAACATAGATAATTTACATACATAGTGGGACCTCAAAAGTGAGGCATCTCACTTTCTCATCTCAGAGCATTATAACAGAGACCATCAACAGAGAAAAAAAATTTATGAAAACTTTTGCTTTGATAACAGAAGCATATCATCATGAATATGGTATTATCAACATCATGCAACATCAGTAATTTACTTGATTTCGTGGAATCATGAACTTCATTAAAGCAAAAAATATGAAAACTTCATAATGAGAGATTGCAATTTGCATATCATTATTCCTTGAATAATATACCGGTATGAACAAACGCATATCATTACAATTTGTGCATATCCATGCTATCTGGACTCAGACGACCCAGTATTACATTTGTTTACCTTTACTCCGAATATAACAATATTTTTCTCAAATAACTTGATTCTAGATGTAAACACAGAGCGAATGTTATGACCAACTTGTGGCAAGGAAATGGCCGACACAAACTCAAACAAGAATATCAGGCTCCATTAATAATTTGAATATGCTGCATCAGGTTGGTAGTTCACACAATCTCAGGTTTATGGACTCCCCATATTGTTAAACAATTCCAACTCAAGATGTGGATATCAGGTGTTTCAATTATAATATTCAGTTTACAGATTCACGGACTGAAAATTTCTCAATCATTTTATAACAGCCAATTTTTTCTCAAACAGATTGTTCTTAAGATAATGATTTAAGACCAAATCAAGAAGAATTCGGGAATACAATGTCATTTACTCTATGGCCAAATTATTAATAATAAGAGGTCATTTTTAACACAATTTCACAATATTATTTTGACTTTTGACTTTAAGTTTGAATAAAACATCTATAACCAAAATTTAGAAAATAGGTTGTGATCTACCACAGGACAGAGATATTCATTCATACCGATCACCACAACATAACTACAACTCGTACAGATCACATACAGCTAGCGGTAGGATTGGTGGATGTGTCTTGAAGCTAAACACGTCACCTATACATATAGGAACTATCTAAACCACTGTCCTCTAAGTGTAACCAGAACATGGCAGGGTTGTTGTGAAACACAGTTGGCATCTGATACACTGATTACAGTCAGGATCCTGTTCTAGCTTGTGGTTAATTTTTGTAGCAAGTGTGATTGGTGAAAATATATTCTGAATGGTCTAACAGTGTTCCAGTGATAGCAAAATCAGTTTCAGTGCATCAATAAATGTATCATATCCGGACTGTTTTACTGTAATATGTACCATATCAGGACCCTTGTAATGAAACATGTTCAGTTTTGGGGGTCACTTTTACTGGAGCAAATTTTCCGTGGGGAAGTTGTCATGACACACGTGTGATATCAGAAACCTCAGACTGTAACATGTATGTCAGGACCACATACTACAGAGTGTATCAGAACCTTAAACTGTAAAATATATCAACTCCTCTATTTCACAACACCTGAGACTATTAGGCCAGACGTTTTTAAAACTTGGTCTACAAATCCGTCTATGAATCCTCCAAAACATTACAATGTGAAACAAAATAAAAATAAATGCATCATTTTATTATTCCGTCAATTAGAAATACTTAAAATGTCATAAATAACTTAACTTACTGTCACTATCAATATAAAAACTCATCTAATATATACTAAAACTAAAGCCTGTTGAAAATGTGTCTTAAAAACTTCAAAACATTACAAATTATGAAGAATCTGTTTTCCTCCAGCCCCCATTTTTTTTAAACCTACTTAAAATTTTGAGTAAATAAATATATATATTTGAAATTGAAACTTTTGGGGACCAAAAATTTGTAAACCAAAAGAGAGAAAGGCTGGCCTTATGAACCTTATCCTAACTAGCAATACACTATAACGCTTTTCTCTGCTATGCTCCTAATCCCTCTCACCAAGCTCAGTGGTAAGACAGACAACAACGGCAACTAGAGGCAATTACTATGTACACTTTGGTCACGTGACTACAAACATAATAAAACAATCATTTCATGTGGTCTGGATTGTGATAAACAATATTGAACAGACAGTGGACCGATTATATACCCAATGCATTGCCACTGCACACAGTGAAACACACAACACACAGGCATTCCATGAAGGATGTCTACCCTACTGGATGACCAACCACAAACACTCTCCTCCATAGGACCAACAGGATCACAACATCTGGGTGTGCTGTTCAGTTCTGTGCAACCAGCTACCCCATGATCTCATTTTTGTCAAACTGGGCCATGAACAATTGTATTTTAAGATTGAGTAAAACAGTGTGTATTCTGGTGTGCAGAGGAACCTCAGGTCAGCAAACACTCTAGCACAACATTTGTGTCAGTACTAAAGACTATCATGGTCGATTTAAGGTTGCTGAAGAAAACAAATTGATTTTTTTTTCTAGAGAGCATTCTCAAGACAACACTAAAGTAAGTAAATGTTCAATGCATCAAAGCATTTCAATTCTTTTGTTTACTAATGAAATATTGAATGCAAGCTAATCTAATCTGTAAAACCAGAAAAAATTGAGCCTAGCCCTTTGTATTTTCTGATAAATGTGTCTTCGCTCGTGTCTGTTTTGTCCTGCCTTTAAATTGTATTAGTTATGACATAATACACATAAAGTATAGTGCAACATACTTAATGTCAACCATATATCCTTCTTTTGCTCGAAAAGGGCCGACAATTTTATATTCTAAGACTTCTTTTTCTTTTAAATATTTGTTACAGAAAAAAAACAGAAAAAATTCCTGAGTGTTGACATAAAATACTGATTTCTGGACATGCTGATGTCCTGAAAAAAAGTGGGAGGTTTGAAGCTTTGACCAAAAAAGGTCCTGTCTCTTACAAACCCCAGGCCACTTCCAGCATATTAAATGGTGGGTTGCTAAGTCAGCGGATGAGCTAGACAACAGCTGATATACTTGTAAACTGTTCAAGGAGATCATGGGCTATAACAAACCATCAACAACCATGCATAAATGACCTATAAAACTGTACAATTCCGGTGGAAGCAAACACTCACTCACTCAAGTTGTACTTGTTCAACAAATCTCAATCACAAACATGCAGTTATTTACAAACAAATCATGGATGAACATCGCACACTGTATCAGGTACAAAACTTCTAAAATGAAGTGGTGATAAAAATTAATAGTAAAATCACATGGCATGACGATTCAGTGGTAGATGATAAAGAAATGAAATCGACATTCCTTAAAAAAGCAAAGCTAATCCGATTACACTTTTATTGCTCTTCATCCCTTTAAAAAAAGTAACTTCATTTCCATATATTTTCATTCTCTGAGAGATCAGGCTTCTCTACAGCCAATCAACAATCCTACATTCACCTCTGAGGTTAAGGACAGACTGGAGCCTATTTTAAGCCTAGGTCCTCCCATTTGCAATCAGCCCCCTTCAAGTACTGTCCTCATGTCAGGGCATATGCTAACTGCTACACTGAAACAGATAGGCCTACACCTGCAAAATAATATTTCCGCACAAAACAGCAATTGTACCCACAATTAATATTCAGATGAAATGATTTATTTTTGTTCACGAAATGACATACTCATATTGAAATAAAGAAACCAAAATCAGTTTTCTGTGGAATAATTATTTGACTACCCTTTTCAGTGCTTCCTCTGTTTCTTGCATCGTCTAATGTGACAATGTGGAGGAACATACAGTGTTCCCATACCAACTTTTCATCAGGTATCGGTGCTATCGTCATCATGTATCAAGATGAGGCCAAGCACATGTCAATATTTTCAAAAGATACATTAAGTTCAGGATACATGAAAGCGGTGTTTAACATTTGTCCATGTGTACACATCACAAATTGGCATTATCAGAAAAACAAAAGGTGTTATTACAACTTTTGACAAACTTTGTAGGACTGCCAATTTGACCTAGCCTATCCCCTGAACATACCCACAGGAGCATGGACAACTACCATATCATGCCAAATCTCTTGTTCAGTGTCAAAACCTCTGTTCATAGAATTATACTTGATCAGAATCACAAGCTAAACAAAGAACAATATTTGCCTTCGATCTCTCCATCCATGCCCCTTCATCATGTTGCATTGATCTTCAACCAACTACACGAACCCAATAATGGAAGAAGCAAAACTTAGTAGTTTGAAGGCTTTGGATTGCTATATTATTTGGTTTCAATATCAATTAGGGTGGTGCATAGGTGTTTTTGTTGTTATATTTGAAAAGATTTCCTTAAACATACACATCATTGCAAGAAAAACACCTTTCTTAAAATAGCAAGATTAAATACAGTTTAAACAATGGAGAACTGCATTTCTGTTTGATGACATTTTTCATATCTAAGGGGATCTGTAAAAATTTGCTTAACTGGTCATTAAATCCACTTTTATTTAAAATCTAAACTACATGAAGATCACACCATTGAAGATGGTTTCCACTCACTGTTTAGGACAGTAAGTATCCGAAAGTTTCAGGTAACCCTGTTCTAGATATTGTGAAGGAAAAGCATGTCGGCTAATATTCTGTACACTGGAATGTTCCACCTTATGGATAATTAACCACAGCACTTACACATTTCAGCTCTTCTAACAAACTCATTTTAAATTTTTAATTAAAATACAAAAAGATAATAAAGAAATTATGTAAAACAATCATTACCAATATGCTGCATTGCCTTATTTAAATACCCTAATCTCATTACCAAATCAGTACCATAAATCATGATGTTATCCTAAACGGTTCCAAGAAAATTCAGAAACAAAATTCCATGAACGAGAGACTTTGGCAAAATGGTTGATCTCTATACCTCAAGCTTGTATTTAGCACCAATGCCTGAGCCAACTGGAAGAAAAACTAATTGGAAATAATACAACACATGTCAAAGAGTATACGCCAGTTATTACAGACAATTATGCGCAAGTTAACATAATTCATGCAATGGGAAGTCAAGGGTATAGATGAAGTAAGACAAAACCAAGGATGTTAAGACTACATGTATGTTGGAATGAATATTCACACTGTACAAGCAGTAGATATATATCACAAAATTCATCCCTGTCACAAATATCATCACCATGGTTACATGAGTTGACTAGAATCTTTTATAACTTGTTATCTTCTTTGCATGTAACTTCATAATTTACTCTGATATATGGATATTCTATATCGTCATTATAATTTATTTTCACATATATACACATTTTTACAAATTTACACTATATTTTTAATCTTCGAAAAACATATTTTGTGTAACTTAGATAACAGTTCTTCCTGGAAAAAATGGTTCCATAAACACATTTCGGATCACATTAAATTGCACATTATATTTAAATGAAAAAACAATATAAAACACATAAGAAAATATTGATAGTGTCATCCATTGTCATATTCTTGATTTAAATTTGGAGTGCAAAAAGAAAATTCTTTTTTTTTTTTTCAGAGATGATTTGTAAAATGTCCACGTTGAAATAATCAGCATTAACACATGAGCACTATCAACATTGTCCAAGGACATTTATTTACAGGTACGACTCTCACAGACCATTCATGGTGCAAGGAAAATAGTTTTGTATAAAAAGTGTTTTCAACAGGGCATTTGGTATCAAGATTATTCAAGTATGGTCAAGTGCAGTGTCCTATGTAGGACCTGCTGGTCAGCTGTGTGTCTGAGTAAGGTAGGGGACACTGAACAAGATGACCGCTATAGACAGCAGAATGTTGAACACTGACGCTGTTGTGCTTGACATGCAACCACACTTCGTTGCATCCTCCTGAAAAAAGGCAAATGCTGTTATATGTAATGGAAAATGATTTTAACCATGAATAGATTAAATAAACATCATAAAATTCATTCTAAAAGCAGAGTTGATTGTATGATTCTGACTATATCATGAGCATGTGTTCCTGTTTTGTTTTTTTGTTGTTTAATGCCCCATTCAGCAATGTTCCAGCTATATGATGGCGGTCTGTAAATAATCAAGTTTTGACCAGACAGTCCAGTGATGGATATCATGAGCATCGATCCACGCAATTGGGATACGATGACATATATCAACCAAGTCAGCGAGGCTGACCACCCGATCCCGTTAGTCGTCTCTTACAAGCAAAGTCGCCTTTACATAAAGTATGGGTTGCTGAAGACCTATTCTAACCCAGATCTTCATGGTTAATTAGTTTATGAAAATCAAATTCTTTTCACTTAAAACATGTTGGGAAAATTATTTTCTTTCAAGGTGATAAATACTATTCGGTTTGATAAGGTTAAAAAAATATGTTTATCTTGATGTTAACAGGGCTGATATTAATGGTCAGGATTTGAATGGAAGTGTTACACTGCCATAGTAGAGGGTGGTCTGGGAATAGTGAACTAGGCAGTGAATACTGTTGTATGCCAGAGTACAATGACATGCAACTTAAGACCGATGCTAACCAAAACCTACAGAGAATCCAGAAATAGCTACTTTCTGTTCCACTGACTGCTGATGCCAAAGTTCTGGTGATATGTCATTGACAAAAATAAAGGTTCTGATGAGAATCATATTTTCCATGGAGTTATATATGATCGATACTTTCTATTTTCAATCCATGGTGGACTTGGGAAGAATACCACTTTGAACATTTCTCTTCAGTTCTATCATGTCCGGTTTATATGAGAAGAAAGCCCATGTGACACAAGTCATAGATGTCTACCACTGATAAACACCATGAGCACTGGTAAAACCTTCAATCAACAAATTCAAATTCCCAACATGCCTTGAATCCTTGTATGCCTAAGGGACAAAACTCTGCACACTACGATGTAGTGCCCAAGATACTGATTCAGCCAATGCCCCTCTAATCCAACTCACATTCACAATCCCAACTTAAAGTAGCCTTTTTTTTCCAACAGCATATTATTACCACTGTTATAAGTAGGGCTTCCCCCTAACAACCCGTCCCATACTTCGACAATGCAGATACTCGTTGTGCATGTTCAGTGTTTCCATGACTGCTTAAACTGATACACAATCAGTCAAATCACTGATCCTGACGACCCTATCCTTGATTTAATCAACTGCCACAAGTATGAGGTACTGGAGACTGTTCTGCCCTGGGCACCCTGCTGCGTATCTTGAGAAGATGGTACGCAGACTGACTGACTTACCCTTGGGTCCTTGCTATAGCATCCCTGTACCGGCTTTCTGTACCGTGGGGTTCTTGCCATGTCACAAATCACCTCCTTTTCCTCTGTAAGGTAGAGAAGGCTTATTTGCACCAAATTTCAGAACGTTACCTGACAGCATCAAGCTTTACCTGTCTCATAATATCAGGCACCTGATACAACTTTCCACTAAATCATAAACATAAATCATAAGTCATGAAACTGTTCATGACAATACAGATGGATAACAATATATCATCTGAAAAATAGGCTGACTTCAGTTAAGTTTCCTAGTAGGGTTGACATTTCATGTTTTTCTATATTTCTTTCTTAAACTGACAGTGAGGAATTTTTGGAATATACAGTTTAAAAGGTTCTGGGCTTGCACTTCACATTCAAACAAGGGCTGATAACCCATTATTCCTAAGGGCTTGATGGTTAAACCTGTGAAAGTGCATAACACTGTCTCACCTTCATCACTGACTTGGACTGGTGCCTGCGGCATTTCATTGAAGGCAGAGTTGCACTCGGAGCAGATTGGGTCTGTCACCACCAGCAACAGGTTTGTGTGCATATCCATCCGGGAGGCTAAGATTGTCCTAGAGACACACAACAATATGAGTACAGATACCTTGGATAGTAATAAGATTAACCTCTGGATCAACATCAGCATCAGTACCAATATCTAGGATGCTAAGAACCCTGGAACCTTCAGATAAACATTAGAAGTACCCATATCTGTAAGTATAGCTGGGACTGACCATTGACATTCTGGGGGCCTGGGATTTTATCGAAAACAATAAATTGTCAGAGAAAATGCTTCAGACTTGAAAAAAAGAAAATGTCTGCTGCACAATATATTGTTGCAAGGTGTCTTTCTTACAAGAAAATTCAGGCTCATATTTTTGAATAAAATAAATACCTGGGTACTGGTTTAGCTGCTGTAGGCTGTAGCTGAAAAAATATCTAAGTTCCAGAAATAATCCAAGGCCCCTCAACACTCACCTGGTACAGTTGTCACACTCCACAGTGTCATGGTCTTGTTGGCGCCAAAGTTGTACTGATACATGACTTCAACACTCACCTGGTACAGTTATCACATTCCGCAGTGTCAGTCATGGTCTTGTTAGCGCCGAAGTTGTACTGATACATGACTTCAACACTCACCTGGTACAGTTGTCACACTCCACAGTGTCATGGTCTTGTTAGCGCCGAAGTTGTACTGATACATGACTTCAACACTCACCTGGTACAGTTGTCACACTCCAGTGTCATGGTCTTGTTGGCGCCAAAGTTGTACTGATACATGACTTAAACACTCACCTGGTACAGTTATCACATTCCGCAGTGTCAGTCATGGTCTTGTTAGCGCCGAAGTTGTACTGATACATGACTTCAACACTCACCTGGTACAGTTGTCACACTCCACAGTGTCATGGTCTTGTTAGCGCCGAAGTTGTACTGATACATGACTTAAACACTCACCTGGTACAGTTATCACATTCCGCAGTGTCAGTCATGGTCTTGTTAGCGCTGAAGTTGTACTGATACATGACTTCAACACTCACCTGGTACAGTTATCACATTCCGCAGTGTCAGTCATGGTCTTGTTAGCGCCGAAGTTGTACTGATACATGACTTCAACACTCACCTGGTACAGTTGTCACACTCCACAGTGTCAGTCATGGTCTTGTTAGCGCCGAAGTTGTACTGATACATGACTTAAACACTCACCTGGTACAGTTATCACATTCCGCAGTGTCAGTCATGGTCTTGTTAGCGCTGAAGTTGTACTGATACATGACTTCAACACTCACCTGGTACAGTTATCACATTCCGCAGTGTCAGTCATGGTCTTGTTAGCGCTGAAGTTGTACTGATACATGACTTCAACACTCACCTGGTACAGTTATCACATTCCGCAGTGTCAGTCATGGTCTTGTTAGCGCCAAAGTTTTACTAATATATGACTTCAACACTCACCTGGTACAGTTATCACATTCCGCAGTGTCAGTCATGGTCTTGTTGGTGCCGAAGTAGGACTGATACATGACTTCAACACTCACCTGGTACAGTTATCACATTCCGCAGTGTCAGTCATGGTCTTGTTAGCGCCGAAGTAGTACTGATACATGACTTCAACACTCACCTGGTACAGTTACCACATTCCGCAGTGTCAGTCATGGTCTTGTTGGTGCCGAAGTAGTACTGATACATGACCTCAACACATGTCTCGGCACTTCCTGTCAAGCTCTCGTCATTTGCTACAAGAAAACAGTCAAATTGGTAAGTTCCATAAACTGTTTGGCCTTCTTGGAAGTCCCACAATAGCAGTAGAGGGACTCGTTTTAAATAATTTAAGGTTGAAGGGTGGCAGATTGCATTTTTATGGGAACATATACCATTTGATATCGATACATATTGATTTTGACAAATGTAATGCATCTAATTTTGGCATCAATATTTCATCACCCCTACTCACCATATGTTTCTTGAGGCGAGAACCATGAGCTAAACACAAAAGAAATAAATATATTTATTATTCATTTCACAACATCTAATATGTGACATTCATGACTATAACATAATGATCCACCAATCAAAGGGGTTTATTTAAGGGCAGACAGCAAAGAAACTTCTTAAAGATAACCAAATGACTATCCTATGACATCCAATCAAATTCAATATTCACAACAAAATGGACCTGTTGTGCAACTTTACTATGAATTAATACAACAGGAAACTCAAAATGCATTTATGATAAGAATACTTACTTCCAGAAGTTGAAATTCAAATATGCCCTGGAAGAAAAACAAATACTGATGAAGTTCTTACAAACATACATTAGTGATAGTCATGGGTATATATTGTTATGTTATTATGCAAAACTTGGCACAATGTGAGCAAGTGTCAGATATGTAAAACTACAGTTACCTATAAATAATCAAATCTGGGTCAAGCAAACAGAGGGTGATAGCATGAGCAATAAACCATGACACTGGAACGTGTTTTAAATAAAATAATATAAAATAAATCCCTCCATCCTCACATCAAAAAAAAATTTGGTTGAAAATCTAAATAAGTTATCATTTAACAGTCATCTAATTGATTCTTGTAGGGACATTCTCTTCTCAACATACCAGAAAAATTTACTTGTCCACCAGTTCAGTGTGAGAGCATCGTATAGCAAGTTGATGGAGGGCTGCAATGAAATGGCAAGAGATAAGTTCAGTATTTCAGAGTAAGGCTGAAAAATTTTCATTCTTGTTTTTTGGACAAACCTGACATTAGTTTTAAAATGGCTAAAGAGTGACAGAGAAAATGCTGTTTTATCAATTTACTGAAAAGGTTTCGCTTTGAGAGATGAATCAGGACTTTTTTCACATAACAGATTATGGCCTACAGTGTCATTGAAATCAGAACTTGGTTCTTGCTTCTGCAAAACAGAGGACATCCCATAACGGTCACGTCAGAACGACCTTTCATCCGACCAAATTATTAAGTGCATATCTTACCAGATTGGGAAAGTGATAGCTGGAATGTGTATTCTAATCATGCAACTTCGAAGGTTAACATGAGGTATTCTGAACGACCATCTTGGTCTGCCATACTGATTCTGTCAAAATCATTGTCTATCTCTTGCTTCTCTCTCTCTTTGAGTTCAGGTGAGCTAAATATGACTGCAAGAACTTCAAAATATTTCTGTTAGGAGTGACAGATGACACTTTTTACCCAGTGAAAACCTGGAGTCATAACTGCCAGCACAAGTTAATGTAATGAGATAACATTACTGATATTGTGAATCAGTGTGTTTGTTGTTTAACGCCACACTCAGCATTATTACAGCTTTTTCATGGCGACCTGTAAATAAACAAGTCTGGACCGGACAGTCAAGAGATTTATATGGTCAGCAACAATCCATGGCGTCAGGATTTCCTAATCTGACCACCCGATCCATTAAGTCACTCAACGAACAACACAGCTTGCTGGAAACCAATTCAAACCCGGAATCCCTACAAGGGACATCATTGATACTGTAAATGTTACGTGGAATTAGTTGAAGAAACACTTGTCAATCAATCCTAGGTTGTGATAGCAATGCAAAGCAATACAGATTGGAATACAGACAAGTCATGGGAACAGAATGTACTCACAATTCTAAACGAAGAGAAGCCAGCACTAGTTTCTTTTTCATCCGATGTGCAATCATGTGTGACTTGGTAGTCATAATGCTTAATCCTGTAAACATAGATGTGATGAATTATTGATAACAGTAATTATTTTTAGTGTTTGAAGCCATCCAAGGACTGTTCACATGAAAATAAAAAAAAGAGAATAGTACAGAAGCTCACCTAACATTAAATGTGTCAGTTTGACTACAAATAATGTTAACAGGTGAGGTGAAATTGTGTTTAATGTCGCGTCCAAGATTTTTGCACTTATATAGCGACGTGCACGCACGTGTGTGTGTGGCTGCTTGTACTAGTTCGGATTGATGCAGATTTATAGTGCTAGCTCACTGAGATACCATGCCACAGTTTAACCTGAATACCCCACTCAGACACAATATACTGACTCCGAGCCGACCAGTCCTTGTTTAAGCCCCTTAATGCCTAGCGCCAGGCAGGGTAACAACAAGTACCATCTTTTAACGTCTTTTGGTATGACACGGCTGGGGATCGAACCCCGGACCTTTCGCTCTCTGGGCGAACACTCTACCACTAGACCACGGAGGCGGTCTAATGTTAATAAGTCATCCAAGCACCTAAAAGGCTGATTGTCCTTACCTGTTATAAATTGAGGCATTAAAAAGCTTGGTCATCACAGGAGGGTCCACTTTACCCAGAAACTGACCAATCTGAAGAGAGAAAAAACACATCAATAATAGTCTATTTGTCATGGGCTTATATCCAAGCACGATAACAAATGCATTATAGAGTATCACTGACTCTAACAAACAATTACAGGTGAAGCTATTCATCAATTCAGGACAAAAAGGTGTGACTGATCTTTTACCTCGGCCACAGGCAAGAGAGATGACAATCCAAAAATCTTACAGCACCCCTTCAACTAATTACATGTCTTTCATCTATTTCATTCTTGAAATACGTATACATTTACATAAACATATGTAAATAAATCATAAAGGTTTTTTTGAAAATATCCTAAAAAGTGAAAAGATTTCATTTTGTTTACAATAGTTGTACTGTTTTACATGCAGACATCAACGCCCTATGGAGAGCTGGTGATACTGTCACCTTGATGTGTAGTAGCATACCTCTTTAATTCTGCAATATAATCTGTAAATCGCACTTACAGTCGTCCATTGGGCCAGACAGTTCTACTTTTGAGAATAAATGCAGAACAAAATCTGGTCACATGATATGCAAATTAGTGATGTCACAAACGGGAGACACTTTACCTGCATGTTATGATCCTCTTGATTGGATGCAATGAGAAAACCCCCTTCATCCACCAGGTAACAATTTAAAAAGTTTACATCCTCACAGTCATAATAGTTGTCCCCTTTTGTAAAATCGTGAAGGCTCTTAATAACTCTGCTGTACATAAACTGTGCTCCCATAACTGAAACAAACAAACACACCACTCTGAACATTTGAAGAATGTGTACATTTGTGAAGATTTTCTTGTTTTGTTTTTGGTATGTGGGGTGGGGTGAACTTTGAATATTTTGGGGGGTTGTGAACTGAAATCTTTGATATAGACTGTTAATCACCAGGGCCCACTTGCAAAAAGAGACCTTAGTGATATCACTATTTTAAGTCTATGATAAAGTATGGGAGTCATGCTCATCTTAACACCTAGATCACTTCGTGCCAGTTGGCGCAGTAGATTAAAAAACATTGAGTTATTGTTGCTTGGAAATTTCATCACAATGTTATTGACATTGTAAAACACAAACATTAACAGTAAGTAACTCGAAAAGTGTTTGCATGTTCTTGTGGCAACACAAACAGACCACTCAGAATAAAAAGGTTTTCTGTTAGATGTGACCTTGACCTTATATCCAAAGGTCACTCACACATTTTCTGATCTCGACCTCCCAAAAGGTAGACATTAACCAACAGCAACAGTTGAAGTCACTCAGGGATGCTGGGACAAAAACTAAATTCTTGTTGTTCTGATAAATATCAACAAGGGATCAAAACAAGGTGCGCTTGGATGGCAAATTGGACAAAATCTTCTTTTTGTTGTTCAAAATTGGAATTGGAAAGTTCAGAGGTATTTTAACTTTGAATTTAAACATTGCATTCAAAGCAATAAACTTAAAGCAAGCATTGAAACCTTTTCCTCTGTATTGGTCCTGTTATCAGTGAAATACTAGTTGCCTCTACTTAGCTGACACATTAGGTTGAAGGATAACAGCATGAACTGGGAATACTTTAATTTGGATTTGGAGAGTTTTTCTGACATTTGTTGCAGACTTTGACTCTGAGCAGGTCTAGATAAATCACTGATTGAACAAAGATAAAGAATGAATTCAATATACATTTCACCAAGTGGAATGCAACATTTTACAGATTTGAGTCTGGAAAAAAAAGTCTTCATTTGCAGTTACAAGTCCAGAAGATGTCCGAGTTTATAGCCACATTTGACAAAAAAATTCAACCAAACCGACTGCAGCACACAACATAAGTTTTACAATGCAGGGTCAAGTCCTACCTCCAGGCTTGTAAGCTGTTTTTCCATTGGAATTATTCTTGACAGCAAAAGCTTTTCCAACTGTCACATCAGGGGGGATGGTATCATTTCCATCCTGAACCGCTGTACAAGCAAAAGTACATTAAAACATTACACAGATGGATTCCAACATCTTTTAAAATCATAATATTCACATTTTATGCAATGTTAGGTATGAATGCAATAAACAAACCAAGTATGGGTTCCTTCCAATGTTCAATTTCAGGTAAAATTCACTTTGCACTGGCAACATTACAAATATTAGTTCTGAGAATTATCACTGGACAAGATTTTCCCCAAGAATGCTAATAATAATAATAATAATAATAATAATACAATTAAATTGAGGTGCATATTATTCAGTGGAAAATAATAATCAAGGCAATTTCTTTGCCACATTTGTTGAAATTCTTGTGACACAAGCAATTGGTGTCGGAGGTTGACCTCTTTAATATTATAAGATGGCTTCTAAACCTTTCCATTGTTATAAGCTTGGCCAGACAATCTTATTTTCAATTCAATTAGCTCTCATCAAAGTAACAAACAGTAACAATTACTGGTCAAGAGTTACAAACAAATTTAAAATAACATAACAGTTTTAGGATTCAGACAATCTCATTAAAATCAGATCTTACCGCTCGCTACCACCACACCAATGATCTGAGAACATTTTATTACAGGTCACCTTAGAATCATGTTAGAACAAGCATGAAATACTCATATCCCCCGCCAATATGACATGTCCGGTTGTGTGCAGTGCATCAGCTCCTGTGAACTATGTTCACTGGACCTTTTAGTAATGGCTTAATTGCAGCACTAAAAAAGTTATTACTGGTGTTGTTTTGCCATCTGCAGTTTATGATAGAATACGTAACTGTATTTGTAATGAGTAAGGATGAGACATATGGACGAACAACTTCTTTATTACAATTAGGAGCGACATTTCGGTGTAGGTTCTTACACCGGTATCAAGCAAGTGAAGTACAGAATATGGTTGACAAGAATATATACAGGATAGGATGCAATGCAGTTTTTATACAGTTGTGTAGGTTTAAGATGCATTTACAGTTGTATTTGTAATGAGATGTGTTATAACTTAAACAATAATCATAGAATTAAGGGAGTTCTTGCTTTAATTAGAGATCATTGAGAGCAGGGGTCACCATGAGGTGTACTGAGAAGTACAGCACCAATCATCTGATGATCTGAGTAGTAGACTAGAGTCTGGAATGCTACAGCACTGGCATGATCAGTAAACAACAAGTCCAGTGTAGCTCCTAGACAGTGAATTGAAGAGTGAATGAGTTGAGTCATTTTCCGCACATGAAAGAAATCTTTAAGTTTGTGTTTTTCACTCAGATCACATTTGAAATCCCCAGTAACTAGGACATGTTCACATTCATGCTGTTTGGAGAGTTCCTGAAGTTTCTGCATGAAATGAGAAAGTGAATGCGACAACCGTCTCCATGACACTTTTGGAGGAACATACACACAAGCAATGCAGAACTTGCCAACAAGAAAGGAAATGTATTCAATACTGCGAGATGACATTACATCACATAGCTGGACACTGTTCTTGAAACTTGTTGAAACATACACAGCAATAACATGTGTAGTGTCTCCTGGATAGACTTTATATCCTGGCAGGTCTCTTTTACTGTAATCACTGATGTGTGTTTCTGTGAAACAAAAAACATCAAGCACACCAACAAACTTGTCCTTCTTCACATCTTTGAAATGAGCACTGAGGGATCGAACATTCAAGTGAGCCACCTTGAGTCCATCACCATGACTGTTCTCTACAGGGTGTGTCCAGGTGAACAGTCTTTCATTCCGCAATCTAGTCATCTCATCCAATGCTTTTTTGTTTACTACAATTTTGTATTTATCAAAACCTACAAGCTTTAGGCCTTTCCTTGATTTGACTCTACTGAGCATCGTTACACTTGACCAGGCTGGGCTTTAAATTTACTTCCTTGTGCAATTGTCATGTTCCCAATCATCTACTCATAGGTGCTACCTTGTGACTTGTGGATTGTAAGGGCGCATGCTAAAGTTCCTTGATACTGTTTTCTTTCAACCATGACAGATTTAGCATTGTATCACACAGAGAACAAGGCTGTTACAGCAGTTATTGGTACTGCATGTTTCAAATTGACAGGACTTCGCTTTCTTGCGTCACGGCACTGAGAGGAAATAGGCTAGTTCGCGTGTTCCCGTTCATGTTACTGGTACCCACTGTGAGGAAGTAGGCTGGTTCAGGTGCCACTGTTCATGTTACCACCATGCACTGTGATGAAGTAGGCTGGTTCGGGTGCCACTTGTAAATTGTGTTTTCACATGTATTCACCATATACCTTGTCAAAGCCCCTTTGTCAAGTGGTATACATCTCAATTAGGTTATTATGGTAACGGTTCTCAGGCAACACTGTGTAGATGTTTTTGTAGAATATGTTAACGGTTTCTGAGTTATGCTCTTGCTAAGAAAACATTCGTAAAAACTCCCAAACTATTAAAAGGCATGGTTTTCAAGATCTGCTCCGGAAACGAGGACTACCTCCATTTTCAACCTAAGTCAAAGTCGTTGCCATGGAAACTCGAAAAAAAATTAAGAATTATATCCCAAACTATCAATAGGCACCAGTTCACCACTAGACCTATCTATGTGCCAAGTTTGGTGAAGAAATATTGTATGGTTTTCAAGATCTGCTCCGGAAATGAGGATTACCACCATTTTCTGTCTAAGTCAAAGTCGTTGTCTCGGAAACTCGAAAAATGACTTTTTTAAAAATCCCAAACTATCAAAAGGCACCAGTTCACCACTAGACCTATCTATGTGCCAAGTTTGGTGAAGAAATATTGTATGGTTTTTAAGATCTGCCCTGGAAATGAGGATTACCACCATTTTCAGTCTAAGTCAAAGTCGCTGCCATGGAAACTCGAAAAATATTTGTTTTAAAAATCCCAAACTATCAAAAGGCACCAGTTCACTACTAGACCTATCTATTTGCCAAGTTTGGTAAAGAAATATTGTACGGTTTTCAAGTTCTGCTCCGGAAACGAGGACTACCGCCATTTTCAGTATAAGTCAAAGCCTGGAAACTCGAAAATAATTTTTTTTAAAATCCCAAACTATCAAAAGGCACCAGTTCACCACTAGACCTATCTATGTGCCAAGTTTGGTGAAGAATTATTTTACGGTTTTCAAGATCTGCTCCGAAAACGAGGATTACCACCATTTTTAGTCTGTCAAAGTCGTTGCCATGGAAACTCGAAAAATAATGTTTTCAAAAATCCCAAACTATCAAAAGGCACCAGTTCACCACAAGGCCTATTTATGTGCTAAGTTTGGTTAAGATATCTCTCACGGTTTTTGTGTTCTGCTCCGGAAACGAAACGGACAGACGGACGGCACCCATTCCTATATCCCCCTTCCACTTCGTGGTGGAGGATAATAACCTTTGACCATCCAATGAAATGACAAACAGGAAGTCGACATCGATCAAAAAGCACCTTTCTTGACCATTATGGCACTATTTTTCAAAATGGCAACCTCCATTCCAGACTATCCCTTAAAAATATTTTGACTATGAGCTCGATTCAAAATTTGAAAACTGAACACAAGAATATTCTGGAATGACTAAAAGATGGCCAAATAGTATGGGAGTATTTGCCAAGGGCTTAGAAAATCTCCATTTTAAATGTTTATACCACTGAAACAAGAAAACACATTCAGAGATTCACTTCTCCGATCTTGTAAGCGATGCTCTGATTTCAGGGATGAAAGGTTGCTTGGACATGACCTGCAAATGGGGTGTTGTCAGATCTTTGTGTAGTGATAGCGAGAACTAAGATCTCATTTAATGAGATTAGCATTCAGCAATCCTGAAAGAATGGCTTCAAAAGCTATTTGTTAACTATTATAAATTTGCAATGAATGCATTCAAATTTCTTTCCACTGAGATGAGGACTTGATAAACAACAAAATCTTTCAAGGTACTTACATTTTGAGAATGGTTCAATAAAGAAAACATTTTTATCTGATGACAGAATTCGTTTGTAGTAGTGCGATGTCTTTGGGTCCCGCTGGTTCATGAAGGAAGAACTCGCACTGGGAAAGAAAGATGTCACATGACATTCATTATCTGTTAATAAACACTTACATGGTCAAGACTAAAATGAGTCAACAAGATGTAAGGGACCGGTCATTCATTACAGGGCAAGGATGTGGAGAGGGGTCAGAGGTTTCTTATGCACTAACATACATATGAGATAGCACCTCTCACACCAAATTGTGGTGCCTTAGATCACTGGGCCCCTTTGACTGACTTGTTGACATTCAGGGTGACAACAATAGGTCCTAAGGGACCAACCAATTGATTTGGGGGGGGAAGGGGGGCACTGAGACTTTGTATTAAGAATAATTGTTTTTTAGCCACCAGATATTTATTTTAAACTATGAGCCTGAATTTTTTTCAAGCGTACATTTTGCAACAATGTATTTTTGGGGGGCAGGAAATTTCTTTTTCTTTCAACAGTATGAAGCATAATCATTATTTTTTCAAGAATGTACAGGGTCAGTTGAATTTTTTTTTATAAAATCCAAGGCCCTACACTATCAACCTAGACGACTTAATGGACAGGATCGTGTGGATTGTTGCTCATGAGTTCATTCATATTATTGTCTGGTCCAGAAAATTACAGGTCACCTTTAAATAGTTGGAATACTGCTGTGATAAGCATTGAACAACAAACTAGACAGTTATGGAGATTCAGTATATCAAGCCACTTACTTCTTTGGGAAGACCCTTGTTAATCCTCCATTTGAGCTCAAGAAAGTGAAAATATGGCCCTCAGTGTCACTGCAAAAGATGTCTGTAGTTACAATCTGCAGTAGTTGGTGACAGTCATGCAGTGGGTACTGAAGCTCACCTTGCTTCAACGACTAATTTCATTACACCTAGATGACCTCCAGAATATTCTGAATTGAAACTCAATGTTTATGAATATACTGAATCGGAACTCATTGAATATGGATTGTAAACATGTTATAAGAAAAATAAAGTTAAACAAAACATTATAAGGATGATTCTGAGGATAATCAGTTTGAAATGATAGAAAACACTCATGACAATTATGATACAATCCCTTTGACAATCATCACGATAAACTAGCCCATTACGAGATAAAACAAAGTTGATATTGTCACATCTCAAACTAAGGCAGTTGTGGAATTTCTGCTTCTTGTGACCGACAAAACACATTTTGTCAGAATACAGGTAACCTTTTCCCTGGCTTCACCTTGATCTATGTTTACATGAAAATATAAAAATATTATCTGATAAGAATTTGTTTTTAAAATGTCAATGGATTCACTCTATATATGAATTTTAAGGGGGTTTGTAAATGTCAAGAAGTTCTGTTTTGAAAAACACTCAAACATAACTAGGCAACAAAATCTGCAGAAATATCACAACTGGCCTACAAACACATATACCCGGTACTTGCAGAAAAATGCTCCTGTGCATCACGCAAAGATCAATTTTTTAGAGTCACTTGTTAGTTTACAAGTTAGTATTGGATACAACATTTGCAGTTTCACTAGAGTGACAATAGCACCTCATTGACAACACAAGATGTGGGCTTGTGGGATGTCATTTTAGATCTGTACCAAAGCCTGATGCAATTGGACCAACGTCTACGATTGGTTGGGAAGTCAGCGTAAACAAGGTTTCATTCCTGCCCACACAGGTTCAATGTGCAGAGTGTGACCGCAGTGTAACATGAAGGCATGCGATGTCCTGCTGTAACGTGACGTGACGTCCAAGGGTCTGAACAGACGTCATGGTACAGGACACCTGTTAACATGCCTTCGATGACAACTAAAGGCGTCCTATCATGCCTCCCCATACCATTACACTCCCACCACTGAATGCAGAACGATGACCATCAGTCATGTCAGCAAAATGCTCCATCAAACATTTATAAACACGCCGAAAGCCATTATTGCTGCCATTACCTGGACCCATCTGAGAAGAGGACTATCATCCAATCCTGTAACCTGAACCTCAAGATGTTGTCTTGACCATGCCAGCCAGTTTGATGATGTAGCAGCAAATTGGACATACAGCTGGATGTTGAGGTCAGATGTTATGCTGTCGTAATCAATTCCTCACAGTCCTTGCACTAATCGGACATAAGCCAGTGATGCATCGGGCTGTCAGACTCATTTCTTTGGTGAAGCAGGCAGATATGATCACCTTGCATGACATGACATTACTCATGGATGTCCAGCATGTTTGTTTTTGATTTGTTTGTTGTTTAACGCCGCACTCAGCAATATTCCAGCTATATGACGGCGGTCTGTAAATAATCAAGTAGGGACCAGACAATCCAGTGGTTCACATCATGAGCATTGATCCACATAATTGGGATACAATGACATGCATCAACCAAGTCAGCGAGCCTGACCAACCGATCCCTTAAGTTACCTCTTACGACCAGCATAGTCGCTCTTTACGGCAAGCATGGGTTGCTGAAGACCTATTCTACCCTGGATCATCACGGGCCAGATGTCCAGCATGAGGTCGGATGTAATCTGTCTGTTGGTACTGTATGGTTTTACTATGATCACCAAATTGCCCAGCAATAACATTTTTTTGCAATTCAATTTCAAGCATTCCCTTTGCATGCAACCACTCATTTTCAGAGCCATCAATGACGTTGCAAGAAATTACCAGAATGCACATGTAATTTCTGGGTCATCATCAGTAATCATGAGAAAGTGTTTGTACATGCGATTATCATGTACATATTCTTAAATTTCCATGCCAATTTTCCTTTATTGTGATTTTTTATGGTGCACAGGAATTGTTTTCTGCTAGTATACATCCTCAGTCCAAACAGTAACAAACTAAAATTAGTTTTCAGGGAAACAGGAGGGATATCAACACTATACAACTCTGCCATTCTCTTGACAAAACCCAATTAAAAAACTAACATCAAATATGACAAAGGTCAAGAGACAGTTTAGCTAGGTCAGAGGTTAGAGGGTCAAGGCCAGCCATGTGAAAGGAGAATACAGAGGTCATCCAAAGCATGAGATATGAAGCCAATGCCAAGGTCAAGCCAATACCACTCAATATCCCATGTACCTTTCTGTAATACACAAATGTACCCTAGTTTGGCAATATGTATGAGACCACATACGTGTATTCCAAAGTCTACTGTTGATCTTTAATTCCCTAGCAGAAAAATTCAGAGCATTATTATCAAATCTGATCATGGATTTAATACAGAGCAAACAAGTTTGAGGTCCTGCCATGAATTAATCTTCCTTGATTTGGCAAAGGAACCTTTTTGGTGCATTGCTATTCATCCTGATTTAGCACTGTTGAAATTGCCGCTCTAAGGTACATTTCGGTCCTCCGATTTTGTTTAGGGTACATTTGTGTATACAGAAAGGTACCTGGGCCCCGTTCCACAAAAGGATCTCAGCGCCAAGTTGATCGTAACTCCAATACTTTAACACAGACGCACAGCAATCGCAGTTCTGATTGTGGAACGGGGCCAAGGGGTACATTTGTGTATACAGAAAGGTACCTGGGGTACATTTCTGTAGAACCTGTGCCAACAATGACCCCAACAAAGGATGGTGACGTAATTATGTCACTCTGTTAAAGTTAGTGGTACTTCAACTGTGTGAGATTGAAGTGGAAAACAAGATGCTGTTCATCACATGACCATCACCACTCAAGCCAGCAGCAACCAGATGCAAGAAGAAAACATGTCAGTAATATACACCTGTAGGGTCCACTGGTCGCGTTTGCACTGAAAATATCACAATAATACAGCATTGTGAACTATCCCTGAAAGTCAGACAGTCTAAACATACCGAGACATAGTCACAAGGGTTGGGGCAAGCCCAAATGTACTATCTGGGTACCCGACCTCCAATACCTGCCCCTACATGGGTGCGCGCCCCATGTCTCAAGATTTGGGTACAAAATGTCCAATTGGGAATTGTTCTACTGGAGCCCTGGCAAAAAGTATTTAGATACAGGGATCAGAGAAACTGGTCATGCATACACTGAAGTTGACTGAAGCTTTATCTATGTTCAAACATATAAAAGTCAGAAGGAATGCGTGCACAGTCGGAAAGAAATGCCAACATTAGTGACTTGTAGTGTAACCATTATCCTCTCTATCGCCAGTGCTCACATTTTCAACCTATGCAAAGCCCTGGATCCATTCCCGTGGTTCTCGTAATGTCAAATTATGGACCCTTGATTTCCGCCTGCAATTTATTTGACTTCTCTGCTAGGTCTAACGTACCAATCAGAATGCAAGTTATATACAAGCCTCAATGTTGGGTTGGGCAGACCCGTTGACTATGATCAAGTTTGCGAGAAATTCAAACATTGAAAAACTGACTGACAGGCAAAAGAAAGCACTCAAAAAAAATTCTTGACGGAAAGGGTGTCTTCATGTCCATTAAAACTGGCTATGGCTTTGGTTTCTAGGTGATACGAGTTACCTCCCTAAGCCTTTCCCTTTCCCATGTGTCAGTTGATTGGTTGGTAAAAATGATGATGAAAATCAAGGACGGGTAATTTGAGATCACAAGAACCACAGGAATCGATCCAGGAGTAAGTGTAGGTTTACTGAAATGCTAGCTCTGGAGATATAGAAGATGGGTAGCATGGATTTATTGTGAATTTTGGTCATTAACTCTTTCAACACCAGTCAACCAGAAGTGTTTACTGCTGGGACACCAAGTTCCCAGAGACTCTTGTGTGATCGAGGAAGCCAACATTTATCAAAGAAAATATCTGCTTGTAAAATATATTTGCTACTACATGTTATACACCATTTGAAAGGTCTGATCCTATGGTTTATAAATATGAAAGTTATGTTTTTCACATTATTTAAAATAATGCATTTACAACTTAATTAAGTTCGTTGTAAATAAAAAAAGTAAGCTGACATGTGGTTAACATCCAGATTAAGGACCAAGGAAGCAAAAACTTGACGATTTTCGTCAAATATAAGATTTCATAAAATCCACTTTCGAGACTTCGTACGGTATGAATAACACGTTCGTTGAAGAATGGCATGTGACACATAGCTGGAAAGCTTATTCCTTCATCTACACGCTCGTAACATTGCCTGGTTTTATTTCCGTAGTTATAACAAGATATTACATTGGATTAAAATTGGTTTCTAATGACGCTTTCTTGCCGAAATCTGCTACAAGGTTCGTGATTGGTCAAATTTGAGCACGTGACCTAAGGCAGCCAATCAAATTACAGCTGTGATACCAAGTTCATGTTTGATAATTTTCAGAAGTTGATGAAAGATTTTTGTTAAATCGTGTTCTGAACGTTTTAAGCAGGAAATCACTTCGTAAATGTATCGTGCTTGGTTACGAGCTGTGACAAAGATTTTTCATGCATATATTTTTGCAATAAACATCGTGTCCGAGCCGAGAATTCAAGGTGACGAAAGCCGAGATGTCATTTGACTTACATTACACGCGATCGCACGAAAATATGGAAATAATAACTTAGATGTAAGTTTGATTACTTTTAGATATATTTTTGTTGATTTAATTTATTACTTTGTATAATATATTTAAAGATTTGTTCAAAACGTCTTTATTTTGCTCTTTGACATGTTCAACGTGGACCCGTTGTCGAAAATTGTGTCTGAGAATTTTATTTTCAATAACATCGCGGGAAATAGTGAATCATTTTTTAATTTATCGATAAAAAATGATTAATTGAAATGGAATACTGAATATTTCAGATATTGTGAAATGTGATAGATTTAATAAATGAATGATATTACAGGTATAGGTCCATAAAAATATATACTATTTTGTCGTGACTACAGCTTGGCCGGTATACCGGCCTACAGTGTCTGGGGACTCAATGCTTCTTGGCCGGTATACCAGCCTACGGTGTTGAAAGAGTTAAACAAAACATCACATGACTAACCACGGGTCCAGGTAGTTTTGTGGCTTCCTGGGTCCTGCTCAGTACCTACACAAACCGAGTACCTGAGTTACTCGTGTCACATTCATGGTCATGCTTGCTCATCAAGGGAGATAACACTGTGGAGCCTTAAAATGCATTATCTCCCCTGTTTTGAACTTCAGAAGTGAGAAGAGGTCTCTGCTTCATAGCAAACTGTCAGCTCCCAATTGGCTTTGCTAGTTTTGTTAGGTATTAACGCCGCGCTCAGCAATATTCCAGCTATATGATGGCACCTGACAATCTGAGAGCCGATCTACACAATTGCATCAACCAAGTCAGTGACCACCTGATCCTGTTAGTCACCTCTTATGACAAGCATAGTCGCTTATCATGGCAAGCATAGGTTGCTGAAGACCTATTCTAACCCGGATTTTACAAGCAGGTAGGACTGTATCATGACCGCTTGTTGGACCATATTATAACATTCCGCTTGTACTGACCATGATGTTCTGGGTCATAATATGGTCAAACCTCTTCGAATCTTCTCCAACTTAAACCTAAGAACTTAAAAGTGGACATACAAAGCAAAACCCTGAACATAAATAATCTGGATGGTTAAATTAGCATAGCGCAGATTGATAGGCTTTCCACATCACGCTTGCAAACATTATGGTGTAATGTTCAAGAATAGATTTCAGACGGCGGGACAATGTCCATCCCTATACCTCGTCCAACTTGGAAGCTGAGGATAATCCAGGGAGTTCCAGACACAACATAAGAGATGAAGATGTGAATAAAAAACAAACAAGTAAGGAACAAAATACATGAAATAATTTGACCAGCCAGGTTTGGTTCTGCGTCTACATGTGTGTATATACATAAACACATGACACCACTGGACATTATAATTGCTAAGAGTTCATCAATACTTACACATAGTTGTTTTGTACAATGATGAAGTATGTTTCCACAGACTTCGCAATCACCGCATCCCAGTATAGGTGATTTAACAGTTCTTCATCCCCTGTAAAAAGTGAAGGATGTGTCAGTGGCAAAAAAACATATGGTGTTGACAGCAGAAGGTTCATGTGGTGCGAACAACCCCTCTCTAAACATCACTGACTGAATTGAACACATCCCATCCCCTACTGAAGAATTTGAATCAACAAACTTTAAAAAATCCTCAATCCACCTATGAATTGAAACAAAACTCGGAGTCACTCAATCTCTAGCTCGACTCAATCTCTAGCTTTACGTTACCTATCAGAGAGTCAATCAATAGCTCTGTTTTACATATAACTGAGTCACTCTTTGGCTCTATATTACATATAACCGAGTCACTCAGTCTATAGCTCTATATTACATATAACCAAGTCACTCTATAGCTCTATATTACATATAACTCAGTCACTCGAGAGCTCTCTGTTACATTTAACTGGGTTACTCTATATCTGTAGCTGTATGTTACATGCTACACTCCCTAAAATTCCACGATTCAAGTTATTCAGATGTTACATAGCTCTAACCACATTCAACAAGACAAAGATAAAGTTACTCACACTTCGTACCAACTTTCAGCATTTCAAGAATGTCTTCAGTCGTCCCAGAATGATTGCTTTTGCTCATATCAGTGTAATAGTCCCTGAAAAGGAAGGACCAGATTGGAAACACAGCTTCAGCACAGTTCCTGAAAACATATTCTATTTTGTCCTCACTCTGAAGAGAGAGTTAGGTTTTACACTACTTATAACAATATTCTTGCAAAATCATCTTTGGCTCACCAAGAATTGGGGAACCGAACCCTGGATTTTGGTGTGACAAGCATACACTTAAACCAGTAGGCTACCTAATCACATCACCCAATCTGATCAAAATGATTCTGGATATGCACCACTATACAATCGAGTGGACTGGGGTATAAAAGTTCAAAACTTATCGCACTAATTATAAAGTGCCAATGGCGTTGGTAAATCATAATGGCATGATGAAAGTAAGTTCCTGGAGCCATAAAGGCACACTCAATCAGTGCTTAAAAACAGTACTTGATACTCATTATATGAAGCCTTTAATAAATAATACTTTGGCACAAGGTACCTGGACGAACGCCCAGTTAACTGTGACAATTTGAAAACTCCTAATGAACAAAATTTCTGTTTTCCATTGAAAAGCATCTTCTTGTGTTCATCAGAGACCTGGAATTTCACATTTTGTCAAATTATCGATCAAATTAATCAAAGACAATCATGTCATCTCATGAAGATTTATCCCTTGCATACATATTCTGGAAAAGCAAATCTTTTTCATGACATTATCCACAAAACCCACATGGGGACACAGTTTATGACAAACCTACCACATCCCACCCTGACCCAGTACTACAGAGCTGGTTGTAGAGGGGAATGTATTGCACAGGCTGGTCTGAAAGTGTCTTGGTACCACTGTTATGGCTTATGCTTTCTGTCACTGATTTGCCTTTCGTAGACTTGGCTCTGTAACTAGGCTGATTGTGTCATAGAACTTTGATGATCATTGCTCATGCTTTCAGTCACTGGTTTGCCTGATCCAGACTCGATTATTTTTGTCAGTGGACAAAGTCTGAAAACTGCTCAGTGGCATTTAGCAACCCTTACTCACTGATCTACAAACAGCCAAAGTGACTTATTTCCTTACCATGGTGCTATAAGCATGGCCCAATTTTCAGATTTGAACACTGAATGATCTGTAATGAAAGGTTGAGACTAAATGAAATCAAGAACAAAGACTAAAGTACATGTGAGATGTGGTTGAAATCTGTCACACATATATAAACATTCCAATGAGTTCAATGGCAGAAAGGTCACATCAATATTTTCGGCCATTGTGCCATAATTGACACTGGCTCACACTCGACTGCATATCAAATATTTCAATCCAGTTTGTATAGAATTACCTCTAGAGGTTCAGCTAAGCCGAACAATTTGATTGGCTAGGCAGCATCCAATCCCAACATGATTTAGTTTGTCAGCTTGAAGTATGGAGGACAATAGCAAGATGGTCAGGCTCATAAACCCTGCCAACTGTAAATAATCAGTGTGGCAGGTATTTGGCCATCCTATCTGTGAAAAAGATAGTGTATGCACCACAGAAAAGAGCGCATCAGATCATGAACAAAGTATCGTGATGCGTATTGGATCGCACAGCTGGTGTTTTGCCCCAGCCCAATTTTATAGGCTCTTGACTGAATAAAACTTCACCTAACTTTAGAACAAAACTAATAAAAGAATTACATTCATCCATAATAAAACACTTTTAAAGTACATTTCTTCACGGTATTAAATATCGCTGACAAACTATTGATCAATATGATGTCATCCACTCACCAAACTGGGCAATATTAGCAGCAAAGTCTGGGTAATAAGTTTGATATGACGGCAGGCTCACACCAAGACTGAAACAGATCACATCCAGATAACAAACACACAAATAATGTGGGTTCATACATTTTAAAAAGTTTAATTCTAATGTTTAATGCAATATATTTAGGACAGATCAATCTAATTTTAAATTCTAAGGTTTTCTTGTTGAAGATTTCCATATGGGGGAGCAAAATGAAAATGAAAATATAACAAGTGGCATCAGGAGATGACAAATCCTCTGGGCCCCTACGAATCCAAACGAACAAATTTAATCATCTGATTGTTACAGCAAGTCCTTCAAGAGTAATCTGTCTTACTCGATGAGAGTATTTCTATCTACTCTGTTTGTCCGTACACAAGAGTAGCTATTGAGCTATCACAACAATACTATGGAAGTGGGATTCAGAACTTTGTATTTGTTTGTCAGGTCCTTTTAAGCAGAGATATGAGTCAATGGATGTCACACAAATGGTACATGGCTTATGCTGTAATTAATCTGTTGCATTACCAACTGTGTTATCAGTAGTTACTGAAGCTCACCTTTCATATTTAACTTACAAAAGATTATATATTGCAGCTTAATAGAAATAAATGTTTACACTAAACATTTAACTCTGTTACTTTGGTCTCTGGTATATAACTATCCAGACAGTCAAAGTCAAACTTGTTGCCGTTGAAACGGAAAAAATAAAAATTCGAAAAATCCCCAAAGAGCAAAAGGCACCAGTTAACAACTGGTCTTTGCGTGTGGAGAGTTTCATAAACGAATACCAATTAGTTTTAGAGATGTCATTCAGATAAACACACAACTATGAAGAGAAATGAGGTCAAACTTGTTGCCATGGAGAAAAAAAATTTCCAAACACCCTAAAGAGCCAAAGGCACCAGTTGACAACCAGTTCTTTGAGTGTGCAAAAGTGTCAATAATTTTAGAGAAATGGTCAGGAAAAAAACACCACTATGAACAGAGTCGCTGTAAACCTTGTTTAAAAAATATATTCTAAAAATCCCTAAATAGCAAAAGGCACCAGTTGACAACCTGGTCTTTGTGTGTTTAAAGCTTCATGAAAGAATACCTATTAGTTTTAGAGATATGATCCAGATAGAAAATGATTACAGACGGACGGACAAGCTGATTACTATATACCCTGTATTACATACCAGGGTAGTTAATGTTAACTTAAGGGTATTAAAAACAACAACCTCAAAACTTAAAAGAAAATATTATAAACAAATTGTATAAAATGGCTTTATTGAGGTTATGGAGGGGTTTGTTTTTATAACAAGAAGGTCTTGCCTTTATTTCATAATAAGAACATATCTACAGAGTTGTTCTGGAATACTGTATATACCTTATTAGACGTATTAAGCGCCCGGGGCGCTTTTAAAATTGAAAATTGTGGGCTCTTATTAGAATATAATTTTGGTGAGAACAGAGTTGAAAAATTGTAAATTTCGTACAGTAGTTTATGCTGACAGCCTGAAATGATACAAAAGAAAAGTATGTACGTATCATACACGACAGATATATTTTCCAGAATTTAATTGCCCACAATTAAGGGTGCATATAACACACGAGTGAGTAATATACACGAATCAATAAGTCCTGTGTACATTGATCAATCGGCAGGGGTGCTAATTCGGATTGTTCACTAGCAAATATATTAGCAAACATCGCCATGGGCGCTTATTAGACGGGGCACTTATTACGTCAAATACGGTAGTTAATATTTTGAACTAATATTCCTAGATTGGATGCCATTACTGGCTCCAGGCTAAATGTGTTTGCCCACATACCTGAATGAGGTCCCTTCAATTGGCGTGAAAGAATATCTCACTTTATCAAAATGTACATATTTCTGAAAAATAAACAATCACAGAATGAAGAACAAACATTTAACTGAGATATCGAACTGAGGTAATAGGACTCTATAATCTGATCACATACTAAAACCAGAGATAATTAATTAGTAAGTATCTTATATGCGGCAGTGTGTGCATGAGGTCAATAACAAGAATAAATTACTGGTCATTCTGTCTGCAGTGTTTACTATGATGGCGGTCCCACAATGAAGCCATGGTGCCACCAGCCTGACGATAATGATTGGGAAGATCATGAGATGTGAAACAGAACAACAAGGACGATACTGGCAAAGAGAGGCAACGCTGTATGCTGGCTAAGGGAGGCGACTCTGTATGATGGCAATCTGCCAGACAAGATTTGTTTGTTTGGTTGGTGCTTAATGCCACACTCAGCAATATTCCAGCAATATGACGGTGATTCGTAAATAATCAAGTCTGGACCAGACAATCCAGTGATTGATAGCATGAGCACTGATCTACGCAATTGAGATACAATGACATGCATCAACCAAGTCGTCGAGCCTAACCACCCAATCCTGTTAGTCGCCTTTTACGACATGCAAAGTCGCCTTTTACGGCTAGTATGGGTTGCTGAAGACCAGTTCTACCCTGGAATATTGCTGAGTGCGGCGTAAAACAACAAACCAACCAACCGTGCAGTCCTACTAACCATGTCAGACGACAAGATGAATGTGTCAATTTCCATGCTTCCAGTCTGCCCTTTGATCATATTTGTTCGGAGCTGAAAAATATATGACATTGAAAGAACATGCAATTGCTACAATAGTGAGACATATTCATTGTTTTTTTATTTGTGTATTTAGCATGTTTAGTGCAATAGAAACTGAAAATATTTCTCATACAGTTATGTTGCATTTGTCTATAGACTGGACATCTTAAAAACTAAAAATATAGTTTAAAGAAATTATCTCATTCATCCAATGCAATTTTAATAGGAAAATATACTATTAAAATACAGAAAACAATTATCTACCTGATTTTTCTGGTCATTTTCTACTTCAATCTCTAAAAGATCAATATTTGGAGGGTCACGCATGTATTTCTGTAAATAAAATGGGAAAAGAGTTGTCAACTACATGTTTGAATATCTCACTGGCACTCAGATCTCTGTTGAGTCAACAAGGCTACAATGGGGACAGAAACTAGGTCCTAACAAACATCTCATGCAATTGTCCTAACTGACATCTTATAAAATTATTGTACCTCAAGTGCTTGGAATATTGTCTCTGTGGGATCATGTGAAAAGTGCTTAATTTCGGATATATACAATCCAATAACTTACACTCTAGTTTGATATCAGAATCTTAAATTATTTTTGCTGGCCTATAAGAATCTAAAATCATTTTTGCTGACATCAGAATCTAATAACATATTCGCTGACACATTAGAATCTAAAATCATTTTCGCTGACTTAACACAATCTAAAATCATTTTTGCCGACATCAGAATCTAATAACATTTTCGCTAACCCATCAGAATCTAAAATCATTTTTGCTGGCCTAAAAGAATCCCAATTCATTTTTGCTGACCCATCAGAATCTAAAATCATTTTTGCTGACTCATCACAATCTAAAATCATTTTTGCTGACATCAGAATCTGAAATCATTTTTGCTTACTCGTCAGAATCTGAAAGTCTTTCGTTTTGCAATATTGTAAAAATGAGTAAAGTCTTTGACCCAAGTTGACTCCTGCTTATCACAGGAGTGCAGAGCAAAACAGTACAAAAATACAGTAAACAATTCATAACGGGTCATGAACTTGCACATACTTAGATTTTCTTCTTCATGTTTGATAAATGAGCCTTCTTCACACACTTATGAATTTGGAAATGTCAGATGTCTAAGAGTGTAAGAAAAAAAGGGCTAGTTCAACCATTTCAGCATTAAGTTTTAAACAGTAAGTTTTCTGTTTAAAATTTGACATTTCCAGCCTGCCAAACAGGACCCTTATCCTATCTCGTCATTTAACTATCAGTATCATCACCAGTGCTATCACGGAATATTCAAAAAGCTGACATGGCATTTTGACAAAGACCCACTGCAAACTTAAGAATTACAGATAGAATGACATTTTGTCCAATACTAATATGAATCATAAATACACCATTTGTAGACATAATAACAATGTAACAAACAGGAATTCCAGTTCAATAAGGCATTTTGTTCAATTCATTAAACAACTTCTTTAGACATGTATACATAAAAACTATTTAATGAACAGGAATATCAGTTAAAATGGCATTTTGACCAATTCCATTGTTCTAAATTGTATGTCTCTCAAGACATTGTAAATATCATTCATATTCGTCTTTAGATCTTAAATTTAACATTTCCCAAAACCATAGGTTCAAGGATGATGAACAACAAGTGTACTTATTTCCGCCACTTACTGTTGGTTTTAGGTGGGGGTGAAAGATGATATAACCATTAGGGTTGATTGCGAAAGAGTAGCCGTTGTGTCCAAGCTGAAATACAAAGTAAATGAACTTACTATTCTCATATTTCATCCTGCTGTGAAAGAAGTGAATATTGTATTACACAACTCTCAACAATATTCCAGCTAAATCGTAGTGGCCTGTGATTACTCAAGACTAGTACTAGTAAACCAGTGTGTCAGTTTGTTTGTTTGTTTGTTTAATGCCGCATTCAGCAATGTTCCAGCTATATGACGTCAGTCTGTAAATAATTAAGTCTGGACCAGACAATCCAGTGATTGACATCATGAGCATCAATCTACGCAATTGGGATACGATGACATGCATCAACCAAGTCTGCAAGCCTGACCACGTGATCCCCTTAGTTACCTCTTGCGACATGCATAGTCGCTTGCTACGGCAAGTATGGATTGCTGAAGACATTCTAACCCAGATCTTCACGGATGGGTGAATATGATGTACAAGTAACAAATATTTGATTGAGCTCAAGAAGTAGATTACACAGGATCCACTTCTAGAATGAAGTATCTTGTGCAGATATGGATATATAATAGGAAGAAGTGACGTGCAAGAGGAGATTTCTCAGAAGCTGACTCATATATTGACATATATTGGTCACATTCATACCTTTTGAGTGGGGCTTTTCTTCACCATATCAGCTGTTGTCACGTCAATACCCATGACTCCAAGGATTGTCTGGTTTGACTGAAACAGTCAGTTACACACTGTAGCATGAAAACAACAACTCATACAGCAATGGCATTTTTAAAAAATAAAAAACAACATACAATTCCCAACTCCCAGCTGAAATCACTTTCCACGAAGGGAATGTATCTCTTGCTGCAATATTCAAGCTGCAAGGACATGTGGGAAATCAGGTGTGAGTGTTCTCCCATACTCATCAATACACTCTCTCATGATTAAGATACTACCATAGCAAACATAGTCACAACTTTTTAATGACTGATGAAAATATTACTTTACTTTTATAGACAGTACGAGGCTGATTCGGGGGTCGAGAGTTGAAATGGGGTATGATATGAATACCCCCATATAATAATCTTTTTATCACATACCATAACATCAGATTGTTAAATGTATCTATTTGCAAGTTAGCGCAAAACATTTTCATCTGATTAATGGAAGATATTGTCATGGTAAAGCTAGACGAGCAGATGACTCACTAATTCATGTTACTCCCATTTTTTACCACCCGGGCTGATATTGACTGCCCATTCAAAATGAACTGACAAGCCATATGAGCTTGGCAGGGGTGTAATACGGGTCTGGTTATTGCACACCCTGTGATATTACTGTTTTTATGTTGGCTCTATTGCACATGCAAAATGTCACATGTCACAGATAATTGTATGATATTTGAATGATTATTATTTCCCATTCAGTAACTGTTCTTGTTTCTTAAAAGCTAAAAAGAGAGAGGCAGATTAGAAAAACGTGTAATTAAATTAGGGCTGGGAGGAGTCCAAATTTACTAACCAGGTACCCAACTCCCTATTACCTGACCCGGGTTGATTTGGAAACTGTTTTCCCAGAGCCCTGGCAAATGCTATTTAGATATACTTATAAAACAATGTGATCATGCTTGCACTGAAGCTGAGTGAAGCTTTACCTCTATGAAAACATAAAAGTCAGAAGGAATGCATGTTTAGTTGGAAAGAATTGAGAACACTAGTGACTTGTAGTGTAGCCATGGAGTTTGAGTGAATTTTTGTCATTTAAACAATATATCACGTGACTAACTAAGGGTCCAGGTCGTCCTTTTGGTACCCTACTCAGGACCCATCCGACCTGAGTACCAAAGTCACCCATCCCAGCCCTAATCTGGCCTAAGTTACAGTGTAACCATCACTCACAGATCCTGTTGTTCTGTTGTAGACCGGCAGTGTAACTGTCGTCATCATCCCCAGACCCTGCAAGTATCAGTCGTTATAACACAACTGCAATGATCATCATCATCACCATCATTATCATCATCATGTCAGAAATATTCTTCAAAAAATCATTTTCTTTTTCATCCATATTATTCATGATGTTACACTTACTTCCTATTTACAATTGTAATACTGTACAGAAACCAGACTTCAAATGTTACGTTACATTGTTGAAATATGCTTTCAATTAGAATTCGTTAAATTGCCATTTCATTAAACACAGACCTGCAATAAAACAAATGTCCTTTTAAACATGTGCGAACAACATCATGCACAAGAAAATAATAGAGAGCATGCTGAGATGAACTTGAAATAATAAATGCAGATCATGCAAAACTAAACAAACAACACTTCATCATAACATAACACCTCAACCATGGATTTGTTTTGAGTTAAGTATTAACCATAATTTCCTTCATAAATTAAGACACAAATGATTTATATGCTGCCAATGCAGTATGTATTAGGGTGAGGGCACTCAATGCTGATTGGTTAGGATTATTTGACATGACCAATCAAACTCCATCACCACACACTATATACATGAATACCCAAAATTAATACTACTGTTCTAACCATATACACACATTATAAAGTTCACAAAACTGGTTTTTTTCCCTACGACTAGTAATATTTCAGGTAAATCTGAAAATATTCAAAACTTAAATTCATCCCAACTGTGTGGTACATTATTTTAAGTCACCATGATCAAACTATAGATCATCCGAGACTATTGCTAAAACCATTTTTTAATCATTTCAAGCATCTTCTGTTAGTTCTGTTAGCTAGTTCTGCTGGCTACTAGTACCTCTGGATAGTTCTATATCCGATTTATTTCAAACGCTAACAGACCACACATCATTTGTTAGGACTAGGCCAGCGACAGCCTCTGTGGCCTAGTGGTAGAGCTTCAGCCCGGGCAGAGGAAGGTCCAGGGTTGGATCCCCGTCCATGTCATACCAAAAGATGTTAAAAGATGGTACTTGTTGTTACCCTATCTGGTGCTCAGCTTTTAGGGGCTTAAACAAGGACTGGTTGGTTCAGAGTCTGTATACTGTGTCTGAGTGGGGTATTCATGTTAAACTGCAGTATTGTGTCTCAGTGGGCTAGCACTATAAATCGGCATCAGTCCGGACTAGTACAAGCAGACACCCACACCCACGCACGCACGCATGCATGCTGCTATATAAGTGCAATAATCTTGGATGCAACGTTAAACCCCATTTCCCAGCCACTTATAACATACACGTTCCTATAGGTTAAGGTTTAGCATAGAATGTTTGATAAAATACCTATGCAAGCATATGCCGACGACAAGGTATTCCATGCCTTTGTCATGTAAACACATTTGACCTGAATCACATCTAAAATGTAAGGCATGATCATATGATCACAAGATCATAACATATGCAACACAAACCTGGCTGATTATTCATATAAATTGTCATGCCTAGTCCTGTATGCTTCAACCACGCTTCAACCACCATGCTTCAAGACGCATGATATGAATTTAAGTAAAGACACAAGCATTCCCGTATGAAAAAAGCGCTATCAAACAATGTCTTGATTAGTCCTTGTTCTTCCTGAAATAATGCACTAAAAAAAGGCTTTATGGAATTTTATACATTTGAAACTGTAAATAACAAACTAAGTTTCACTGTGCATAATTTCAGAAAGAACATAAATATATTACCGTATAAAACATGTACAAAAGGAACAACTGTACATCTCAGACTCAACTACACTAAACAAGAGAATTGTTTCTCAGTCAAACACTTTAGAAATTGTTCGATTCTTTTTTTCAACTTTAAAATATTGTCAAATTTAATTTATTGTCAATACAACCAGAAAAAAACTGCATTCATTTCATTTCCGACAGCAGTAATGTCTGAGAAGCAAAACTGACTGTTAGATTTAGGCTTGTTCCAGGAAGTGGTTCTACATATATACACAGTAACAATCTCATTCAAATCAGATCTTTTTCTCCGATATCATGTTTCTCTTTGAGATCTGATGGCCCCATGTATAGGCTTCCATATTCTAAGAATAATTGAGCGAAGCATTCAGACCAACACATTATTTCTGTATCTCGAAAATGATGTTAAACAAGCAGTTCCAAATGTAAATAATAACGGCAAGGCAATTATATAGTTGTAAATATTTTGTACACCATATTGTTTTTCTCGTGCCATGGCATCTACAGGAGTAACTTCAAAGAATATTTGTCTTCTGTGGCGATTTTCTCTCGCTAAAATCGAAATCGAAATAGTAAAGAAATGGAGCAAAATTGTTTTAGAAAGCTGACATATGATTGGCTGAAGAACCAAGAAATCCATCATTCATTTTGGGCAGTCAAGGTCAACCAAGGTTCACGAGATATGACCTTAAATGGAGGTGTCATCAGATCTTCAGAGAGGCATTATCGGAGATATGATTATAATGACATTGTACACAGCAACACCTGCAGATTGCAGTCTCACAAAGACTCATCAGACTAGATGAGGACAATCACATAACAAATGGCACTACACAGAGTGCAAAAGTTTCTGGCCAAACACAATTTAACTTGAATATGTCTAGATTCAAAAATTATTTCATAAAAACACTCTTTTTATATATTCATAACAAAAATCAATTTGTGAATGACTGAATATTTGTTTCTGCTATTCCAGTCGTTCAGTGTCAAGAGTTTAGTACACACAGCTGCCATTGTGTTTAACCATACAAACTGTGTCCTCTCTATTCACATATATATATCAACAATGCTTGAACACGTGAAGCTTCTACACTAAAACAATCTACACATAAAGCCAGAATTTCGTTCAAACTGGACATTTAGTCTCAAGGTTCTTAATTAAATTGAAGTCACACCTTTTTTTAACTTGCCTTACGGATCTGCCAACTGTAAATGTGTTGAAATTGAACCCAAAATAATACTCTGAATTTGACCCTTTTTTATCCTAGCTGATGCATGTTGCATCAAAATAGAAATCTAAGCAAGGACCCTCTGTTGATAATTATGCATCAATGCTCTAAAAACAAACAAAAGTAAGTATTATTAATTAGCGAGTTGATAAACATTACCTGTCACTGATAAACTATTGTATTCATTATTGTATGAGGGGCGGTGGGGTAGCCTAGTTGGTAAAGCGTTTGTGTGAACAAACATTGTGTGAAGCTCATTTCTGGTGTCCCCTGCCGTGATATTGCTGGAATATTGCTAAAAGGGGCCTAATACCAGGCTCACTCACTCAATATTGTATGAGGGAAGGGAGGTTACTCTAATTCCCTCTGCTGATCTGGCAAACTTGTCACTCATTAGACATGTCAAAGTTACATGTTTAGCCCCTGAATTTCAATTTCATATTTTTGTAGTTTCCGTAAAGCAACTAAAAAAAAAGTGTGGCCATGATAATGGAATCATATTCTTCAATTTGTTACACCAACTCTGACATATTCCCAGAATATTACCAACACTGAACTACCAATGATCCAGCATTTATAGTCAGACTGCTGGAATTCCACATGAAATCCTTGTGTGACATTAAACATTAAATTTGATCTGATTACCAGATTTGTCCAAAGAACTGGGAGCCTAGTGCAGATCAGATACACCCTGTTTGATTTAATCAACAGACATTAAAATTGAGGGATATTTTCAACGAATCTTCAGAAATTGAAACACTGACTTTGTTCCACTAATTAACCAGCTCATGCTGTAACTGTTGTTATAGCATGTGTGCTGACACACATTCTCCTTGTGAACTCCAAGACTCATCACTAATCTCTGACGATTAAATTCAAACATAACATATCTATCAAACATATAAGCAAAAGTGGAATGTGTTTTCCTCATATTCTACAACTAGGATATTCTAAGTCACATTTTCTACAAGACTGACACTGACTTCTACACTGACATCAAACCACAGCCATGTTTAAAACAGTAAATCCCTTCAGTTCACATATTTTAATTGTTCTTAGTTCAAATTTTCATTTTAACTCAAGGACCATATCTAAAAAAACACTGCTTACCAAAACTGATTTTTTGTATTCAGAGCACTTTTTATCTTTGTTACCAAGACAATAAGTGACATGGGTTTATTGGTGTATTCCTATGATTCTCTGACTTGCTCCCATCACATGGCTGTGGCCCTATACACATACAGACTAAACAACACTGATAGTTAGAGGCAATAGTGGTCAGTACCAGATGATCGTAGTAAATGCTACCCCACACAAAGCGTTTGACGTTCTGCAGCACCTGTGGTCGGCTTAGAACAGGTATGTACTCCTTGAATAAATCAAATGCACCAATCAGCAACAAGCAGAGTAACTGGCACACACTTGAAACAACGTGCAATACATCTTTACATTCTGTGCTTTTCGCCACTAGTCCGAAACCAGAGAGTCTCGTAAAATTTCTTCTGGTTTAGCCAGATCAACTTCATATGGACCTTATGGTAAGATTAAAAACTTCTGAAAAAATTACCCAAATAACTGTTTGGGCTTGACTCAAAAGTATTTGGTACAGACTGCTTTTGTTTTAGTCATATAACATTCTGTCTGAAAGAAAACCAAGAAGTCCTTTTCATAGCTCTGCTGTTACACATTAAAGCTACAGGGTCTTAGCATGCTTAGGGCTCCCTATTTTTTCCATCACTGAACTTCTTTGGGGATCATTTTTTAAGGGTCTGGTTTCCATAATTGTTGATTGAAAATACTAAGGTCATTATGGTAAAAGAATCCTAAACAGTCATGTTTGAATTCCACAAAAAGAAAGGTTCAGCAAAAATCTTTTACAAAAACCAATGCATGGATTACATTTTATATTTTTTTTATTTTTTTTAAAAATGAGTAAAAAGATTTTCTACATTGTTAATGTAATGCACAAAGTTTCAACTATCACCATCTAATCTAGTCAAACAAACATTTAATATTCATTATCACAGAAGACAATCAACAAGATAAATATGGTCTATTTTCAAACAGAATCAATCACACAGCCTCCGTAACAATACACATTATCTGATGAGCTAAGCCAAAATTTACAAATTGCTGGATTTATGAACGATCAATAATTAAGTCATTCAATAATGTTCTGTGCACAAAAGACATTTTACAAACCATTCAATGATTCAGAACAGAAAAAGTCTAAATATCCACTGTAATTTAAGACTTTCAATTTTCAAACTGTACTAAAGATTAGAATGTTTACCCTTTAAGACTTTTCTCTCTTCAAGCACATCAGATAAAGTAACCTCTGATTACAGAAGCAACCTGATTCCATTCGAGATGATGTGATTTCAACCACACACAGTAAATATGGTAAAGCCTGGCTAATATCATCAGCCTATTTCATCAAATCATATCAATCTGTTACAGCGGGAAACATCTTCGCTCACTCCATTGCCAGGACAAATATCAATAATCATGATCTTTTAATAGAAAACTTCCTATTCACTAATGACTTCTTAATGCTGCTGCTGATTTTGAAACTCTGCCATTTGAGGTCTTGACATTGCTACCAATATTAAGATTTCCTTTCAACCATTTTTCTTTTCTTTATATGATTTGTACATACAAACTGAGGCCATTGTTTAGAATCCAAAAATCTCCATGACCCAAATTCAGCCAACTTCTTGGCATTGCTCACAATAACTGGAGGCTACTGAACAATTTGGTTTTTATATGTGTCAGATTAAATGTTTTGGACTACATGGAAGGAAGCTAAAGATCGTACACAGCGGGAATTGTGTCATGGAAAGAAAGAATTTGTAATTAAACTTAAGTAAATCCTTTTTTCTGTTCAAAACTTTTATCAATTTGATGGCTTTCCATATCTCCCAACACAATGCACATGTTTATACAAGAATACGTCCAACACCAATTCTCTCAGCATGATGAATATGCCATTCCAAAGTTGAAAATAAACCAAGGCATAAAAATCCACTCTTTTAAATGTTCTGATTATTTTCACACTGTGGCTGTCAAACACTTCAAAAAATGCAGCTGAAAAGTGTAATGGTTAGAAATTAGAGGGTTAGGGTTTCAATCATGTTACCATTGTAACCAACAATGCCATGCTACGGTGAAGACGCCAACAAACTATGACAGGAGTGGAGACACACATACTTCACCTAAACAGTGGTACTGATATTCTGATAAATCTACCACAGATGTAAAAACAGGGCTACATTTCACAAAGCCACCTCAGCACTATGACAGACATAAGCCAATGTTAAAGTATGGGAGTTTTGATTGTCATAGTGCAAAGGTTGCTTTGTGGAACAAGACTCAGGTTAACATCATGGCTGAGAAAAGAGAAACCAAGAAATCAGGATATTTTTCACCAAAATATATTAACTTAATAAAAACTGTAATTGAATTTCCAAGTGATGCCAAATCTGAAGAACATAATATACATGGTCAGTCATTTTCCATGTGAAAGTGTAAGTGCTCCATCCTTGTCAATGTACAGGCATCCTCCTTGTTACCCATACATGAGGGTCTTGGGTGACCTCCCAGCTGAAGTTCTGACTGTAAACATACTCCTTGGGTCCTACTAAGGCTCTAGTGTAGTTCTGAAGGAGATCACATAGCTACGTCACTGGAAGACTATGGGCAGCAGATTCAGGGTTTGTTGGGAGGGGTGGGTGGGCACCTCCCTGTGTTCTACCTGCAGGATCTACATCTGCACTGTCCAGGTGTAACAGTGGCATCACTGGAGGACTTAGGGTAGAACATGTGTATTGGGAAATGCACAGGGGAAGGGTTGAGGGGAATGAGTGGAGGGGTAGGGTTGAGTGGAGTTTGTTTGTTGAGGAGATATAGGGCAGGATTGGGTGTGGTGGGGAGACATATCGGGCTGGCCTGGGGGTGGGGGGGGGAGATATAGGGCAGGTTTGTGTGAGTGAGGAGATATAGGGCAGGATTGTGTGAGTGAGGAGATATCGGGCAGGAATGGGTGCCAGTGGGGTGGGGAGATATAGGGCAGGATTGTGTGAGTGAGGAGATATCGGGCAGGAATGGGTGCCAGTGGAGTGGGGAGATATAGGGCAGGATTGTGTGAGTGAGGAGATATCGGGCAGGAATGGGTGCCAGTGGAGTGGGGAGATATAGGGCAGGTTTGTGTGAGTGAGGAGATATCGGGCAGGAATGGGTGCCAGTGGAGTGGGGAGATATAGGGCAGGATTGTGTGAGTGAGGAGATTTCGGGCAGGAATGGGTGCCAGTGGGGTGGGGAGATATAGGGCAGGTTTGTGTGAGTGAGGAGATATCGGGCAGGAATGGGTGCCAGTGGGGTGGGGAGATATAGGGCAGGATTGGGTGTGGTGGAGAGACATATCAGGCTGGCCTGGGTGGGGGGGGGGAAGATATAGGGCAGGTTTGTGTGAGTGAGGAGATATAGGGCAGGTTTGGGTGGGTTGGGGAGATATAGGGCAGGATTGGGTGGGTTGGGGAGATATAGGGCAGGATTGGGTGGGGTGGGGGAAGACATATCAGGCTGGCCTGTGTGGGATGGGGAGATATAGGGCAGGTTTGTGTGAGTGAGGAGATATCGGGAGATACTGGACATATGGGGCTAGCTTGGTGGGCGTATATGATATACCAAAGTCCTACCAGTTTAAATAAAACCAGGGAGGTTCTGAAAACTCACCATCCATTGTCATTACTGCAGTTCATATTGATCTCAATATGTTGAATGTGCCCTGGTCTCAAACAGGGCGGTGTTGCTAAGATTCGTAGGAAACGTTAGCAAGTCTGACTCTAATATTAATAATATCACATCTAAACAGAGTAAAAGAAACTGCACTATAACGCAAGTTTTTGTGTAGACACCATGAAAGTATGTGTGAGCTGTTCACTCATGCACAAACACTGTGGTGGAAAAAGTCAATGTAAAATGTAAAACCTAAATTTACTAGAAATACAGAAGTGAAAATATTTTGGGATAACTAAAACGAGTTCAGATATAGATAAAAAACTTAGTCCTACTTTGTGTATTTTCCAAACATTGAATGAAAATCTAAGAACAATTGTGGCCTTATGAAACAGCATGATTACCACATGTATGTCACACAAGTGGTCATCGGCTGCTGCTGCAGCCATGCTTAGTTATAAACTAACCCTCCACCAAACTTTCTTAATTTGAATTTCTCATTCATATAAAATAATATTTGCTGAAATAAACAATCTGCAGAAAAACCTCACCTTTCTCCCAAATCCCTTAAGTATTGAAACATAAAACTATTTTCAAAAGGTGGAATTATTGCGGTTTTCACTCAAAATTACTAACTCACATGAAAATTTTACTTATAAAAAGAAAATAATATGCACAAAGTATCAAATCATCATTAACATGGCAGCTTTGACGCTTAATTTCCAAAAGTTACAAAAAATCTTTCATAAGAAGATGAAATGTTGAGAATAACTTTTATTACAAATACCAGTAGGTATTACACAATTTCAGATATACTTCAACAATTACATTCCCAAAGCAATAATAAACCCCAAAGACCAGCAAATGAAGAGGTACTGCTGTCAGCCTAAGCCCCGGTACCAGAAAGCATGGAAACAACAGATGTGCAAGAGGGTATACACTACCGCATTGCTGGCGTTGAAGAAGGGGTTAGTGTGGGTGCTACTCCACATGATGTGTTCTACATAATTGAGAGCAAGCGGGCGAGCCAGCACTCCCACATAATCCTGAAATAATGTCTGGACTGGTTACATATATGCCAATATTGTCTTGAAATGCATGGTTTCAAATGGGTGCTCATACTCCTCAAATAATCTGGGCTATATATCATACTCAAGAGAAGTGTTAAAGAACATCTTTCATATTGATCTGTCGTGGACATTCTCTTATAGAGTACTATGGTTGATCTGATGGACATTCTTTCATATTACTATAGTTGATCTGATGGACATTCTTTCATATTCCTATAGTTGATCTGATGGACATTCTTTCATATTCCTATAGTTGATCTGATAGACATTCTTTCATATTCCTATAGATGATCTGATAGACATTCTTTCATATTCCTATAGTTGATCTGATAGACATTCTTTCATATTCCTATAGATGATCTGATAGACATTCTTTCATATTGCTATAGTTGATCTGATGGACATTCTTTCATATTCCTATAGTTGATCTGATGGACATTCTTTCATATTCCTATAGTTGATCTGATAAACATTCTTTCATATTACTATGGTTGATCTAGTGGACATTCTTTCATATTACTAAAGTTGATCTGATAGACATTCTTTCATATTTCTATAGTTGATCTGATAGACATTCTTTCATATTGCTATAGTTGATCTGATAGACATTCTTTCATATTGCTATAGTTGATCTGATAGACATTCTTTCATATTACTATGGTTGATCTAGTGGACATTCTTTCATATTACTAAAGTTGATCTGGTGGACATTCTTTCATATTACTATAGTTGATCTGTCATGGACATTATTTCATATTCCTATGACAGATCAACTATAGTAATCTGCAAACATCAGGGGTTCTTAACTTCTTTTGAGTAGTATATATGACCATAATGGTTTGAAAGTCATGACATGAAATCTGTTTTAATCTGAAATCACAGTTCTGAACAAATGTCTGACTACTTTATCAAACCTAAGCCAACATTGTTTTGAAAGTCATGACTTGAAATCTGTTTACCTACTCTTGAAATAATGGGTGTGTGTTACATATATGCCCATATAGTCCTCAACAAACATAATTTGGATATGACATACCACGAGCATGAGTACAAAACTGACAAACCTAGAAACATAATCGGGATAAACCGGGATTCAAACCCACGACCACATGCTCCCTGTACTCTTATATAACATATCAATAGCATGTACCGTTAATGATAGCAGATACGCTCAACATATTGAATCAGACTTATTCCAAACACTGAGCAAGGGAACCCTAAACAAAATATTTGTTAACTTGCATAACTGATCCGCATTAAAGTTCCTGAAAGTAAAATAGTTTATTAATCATCACAAATATGTAAGGAAAATGATTCCTATGTTTGTGGTCACCATAATTTGCATGAAAACATTTCCATTCTATCACACTCATACTGGAGCTTAATGTACAAGTGACGTACCTGGACTCGGGTTCTGATGGCTCCCATGGCAGGGATCTGTGAGAAGTAACCTGCAGCAGATAATGTGTGTCTTTAGATTTTGTTTTGTTTGTTGTTTAATGCCACACTCGGCAATAGTCAAGCTATATGGCGGCGGTCTGTAAATAATCAAGTTTGACAGGACAGTCCAGTGATTGACATCATGAGCATTGATCCACCCAATTGGTATACGATGACATGCATCAATCAAGTCAGCGAGCCTGACTATCCAATCCCGTTAGTTGCCTTTTACGGCAAGCATGGGTTGCTGAAGACCTATTCCAACCCGGATCTTCACAGGTAGTGTGTCTTTAGATGATGAACTCCATGTATATATAAGACATAATTCAATAACTATTTGTGTTCACTTTGTGTCAGATTAACAGGTTAAAATTTCCATAACATAACTTTTTATTCTCATACTTCTGACACAATTTGGTGTCCCGTCTGATCTGAAAAGTGATTTCTAAAAGTGAGAGATATAACACATGCATTCTTAAATACCCAACAGAAGGAACTGAAGCTAGGCTACAACCTATAGAAATTTTGCTGGTATAAGATTTTCAGATGAGCATTTTTAACACACTGACTTCAGGCTCATTGTGAATTCTTCACCAGTGTTGCATATACTACGTTCCTCCATCACCCGTGAACACATATGTCCACTTCGCAGTGTGGTCACTAGTTGTAACCCACTAATCAAACCACAGCTAGTTGCAGCGAGAGGGAACCTACAGAGAGCTCTGACCACCGAGCGCTCATTACACACACAGCAATATTTCTTCATGTGCCACAGCCTTGCTGCCATCTTCTCTAGACATTGCTTCAACATCAGGCAACAATAGGGTTCTCCAGAGACCATACACCGATATCATCCGAATATGGTCTCTGAGCTGACACAAAATTTATGCACAGAGTAGGGTTCATTTGACTTCCATGGGTTTTACCCCACTGGATATCTTGACTTAAAACAGACAACATCACAACACTGTATATCAGCAGTATGGATGCACGGGTGATGGAGCCGGGTTTTAAGCTAGACACAACAAGAGAATGGACACAGAATAAGAATATACTGTGTCCCGTGGGACATAGAATAATATTCATTGTACTCTAAGTGTAGACTAACATCTAGTCTCTGAAATGGAACATATTTTACAGGAAACACAGTTGTTAAATCTTCATTTTCAGAAACTGACGTAACCTAGACTTGCCAACTATGATAAACTTGCATAGGCTGCATTGAATATATTTGTCGCAGGGTCTGTACGACAGACTACCAACAGCACATCAAGAGCAGTTGTGGGCGTCATACATCCATCAACCATGACCACTGTCCACATCATCATTGATTCACTCCAGTCTCTAAAGTAATTATCAAAACGTACAGTAAACTACACCATTTCATTACATTACAGGGCTCTTATATTCACACTTAAGTCTAGGTAAAACCCTGATGGAGGAATGTAGTGTATGCAGGCATGTGAAGTATTGATGCTTTCGGTGCACAAACGCAAAATTGCAGAAAACAATCAATGCCATAGGAGATGATGTACAGTTACTACTATGATTATGTTGTAAACTTTGATTACTTAACACATGTGCCTGGAAAAATCAGTCTTAGATAAAATCCTTCATCTTACCTCTGTTGGCACATGCCATCCATTTAATGGCATTGGTGGGGTTGGCTGTGGGGCCCACGGCATACGTGAAGACTCTCACCTGTAGACAACAGCAACATACAGTCACACAGCATCATCAGGTCAGGGAAAAGTGTTGGTGGGAGAAATATCTTTTTAAAAAGGGTGCCATGACAGTGTAGCTCACCCGGATAGGAAGTCAATTGTGTACAATGGCAATAAAGACAGCTGTACTGAAACACTGCTGCCAGAATTGATATTCAAATATTTGTTTAAAATTTCCTGAGGACAAAACACCAACACTTAATTCTATGGATTTGAACAAAATTTGTTTGTTTGTTTAATGCTGCACTCAGCAATATTCCAACAATATGACGGCAGTCTGTAAATAATAGTCTTGACAAAACAATCCAGTAATTGACATCATAGGCATCAATCTATGCAATTGGGATACGATGACATGCATCAACCAAGTCATCGAGCCTGACCACCTGATCCCTTTGTCACCTCTTATGACAGAACAAAATATGTCAACAAAAGGAGAAACATACATTCCAAAAAGGTTCAACTTCCTCAGACTGGCAAAGAAAAAGATAATTACAGAGTCACAAATGTATTTTGAGAAAATTTAAGAGCATAGTCATAAACAAAAAGGTCAAAACACGTTCAAAAACTAAAATCTTGTGAACAGCAAAACATATGGGATCAGTCTAACAACTAATTACACACAAACCAAATTTCATTATATTTACAGTCATGGCCAAATCAAAAATACGTATTTGTGCATTCAAGTGTCAAGATTCGTGGGAACAAGCATGGGAAGTTTCACCTTCATTGATCCAATTGTTTTGAAGATAAGATGTTTACAGATGCTGACCAGTCACTGGACAAGCAGGCCCTATACAAGCCCACTTTGAGTCAGGTGAGCTAAATAAAGCTCCGAATGTTGAGGTGGGTGGAGTGAGTGAAATGGAGTTCAGTGTTGTAGTTCACTAATATAATGTCATGCATGCACATGGAATTAATGAATGAGTAGGTTTATTGCTGCTTTTAGAAATATTCCAGCAATATCACTCTTGGGAATACCAGAAATGGGTTTCACACATTGTACCAATGTCGGGAATAAAACCTGTGACTTCGGCGTGACGAGCGAAAGTTTTAACCACTAAGCTAACCGGCTGTGCCCCAAATTCACATGGGAAATATCCAGTTGGCATATGGACCATAAGGAATTAATGACTATATGTGGAAAAATACTTTAACAATGGACAAATAATATGTAATTCCTAGTTACAAGCAGGTTATTCTAAACGTTTATTTTGAAACAAGATGTTGCAAAATATTTTCACTGATCACATTACAGACTAAATCTAAGCCACAATCTACTGAAATATTCTTAGACACTATATATTACTTGTGGGTGTGCATGTTTATTGATCAACATTGAACTCAGCAATATTCCAGCTATATGTGGTGGCCTGTAAATAATCGAGTCTGGACCAGACAATCCAGTGACTGATACAGAGAGCAACAATCAGCCAAGTAACCAAACCTGACTACTTGATCCAATTGGTTGCCAATAAGCATGAATTGCTGAGGACCTATTCTATCTGAAAGGGGACATTTACACAACAGCAGCCCCGGGTGTACATCGTGGTTGGTACTCACAGTTTTATTTGGCCAGTTGTATTCCTTGAATACTTCCTCGGCATTGTCCGTGCCTCCATCCGTCAACAACATGATCACTTTGTTACAGGAAGCTCCACTTTGTTGGTCAGGGTCAGGGTTTGTCTCATTTCGTTCAAACTGTCAGAAATACATTAATGTCCCAGTTATAGGCCTTAGAAACACATCACATCTACCTTTCTTATCATTTGAAGAAACAAGCATGCTAGTTGTAGCAGTAGCTGTTGTAGCAATAGTAGAACCGAGGGCAAGCATAAACCACTGAAACGTCTATTTGCTCCAACTCATAACCGAAGTTGTAAAAAATATATATATTGTTGAGGAGCTGTGTTCCTTAGCTGAGTGCTTAAAATACTATCTTGCTGAGATCCACCAGTGTATTGTTATTTTCTGAGAACTAAAATTAAATAGTATTATTCTTAAGGTAACCCTCTTGTTACTACTTGTTCAAACATTCTGGACTGGCAACATTTTATTTGGTCTGGTACCTTTGCTATGTTGCCAGTCCAGTTGTCTGACTGAAATTGTGGGGAATTTTATACACTGCTCAGCTGCAAGGAAAATGCTCAGTGAAGTGCCAAAAGTCTATGAGTGAGTGAGGTGGGTGGAATGGGGTTTAACGTCACGTCCAAGATTATTGCACTTATATAGCGACGTGCATACACGTGTGTGTGTGTGTGTGGCTGCTTGTACTAGACTGGACTGATGCCAATTTATAGTGCTAGCCCACTGAGATACCATGCCGCAGTTTAACATGAATACCCCACTCAGACACAGTATACTGACTCCGAGTCGATCAGTCCTTGTTTTAGCCCCTTTATGCCGAGCGCCAGACAGGGTAACAACAAGTACCATCTTTTAACGTCTTTTGGTATGACGTGGCCTGGGATCGAACCCCGGACCTTCCGCTCTCCGGGCGGACGCTCTACCACTAGACCACGGAGGCCGTCCTATGAGTGAGTGAGTGAGTGAATGGGTGTGGTTTCACACCGCTTTTGGAACAATTTCAGCAACATCAACATGTGGGGAATCGAACCCTCAAACTGAGCAAACTCAGGCTACCCCACAGCCCCAGCAAATGCCTATGACTTGATGCAGCACTTTGGGTATTTTCCAATCTTGCATGCTGTGATATGACTGGAACACAGAGCTATACTCAGCTCCTCACGTTATCCTGTGTCTACTGTAGTTTCAGAAGTACCACAAATGTGTCACAGCATTGCCTACTCCATACTAAGGAATCAGAATATCTAGTGAAGATTGAGATGCATTGCCCTAACTCTTCTGGCTAGAAGTTTGCCAAACAGATGTCAAACGGCTTGACTACTGCTTGGTGATTTGAGAAACTTCATTGTTATAAGAGTGAGTGAGTGAGTTGGGTTTAACGCTGCTTTGAACAGTATTGCAGTTATATCGCGGGGTCTCAGCTTAATGTATGAGGAAAGCCCGAAGTGATGCAGGTCTCAGACGTTTACCACTTCGGTAAAACCCAGAGGAAAGGTATGGTGCTGAAAAACCTAGAAACATAATCGGGGCAAACCGGGATTTGAACATACAATCAAAGGTTTCTGGCATGCCCAAAGGAAGCAACTTTGCATGGTGAATCACAGCGTCTTAGACGACTGGGCCATCCGTGCCCCCTTGTTATAAGAAGTGGGCATTGCAATATGAAATACACTTGAAGACCAGAGACAAATGCTCTTATTGGACTTACTATCTCAAACTGTTCAAAAGCAAACTTTAGTCCTACTTCGAAGTTAGCCATTCCATTGGCAGACAAATCATTGACGTCATTTGACAATTTCTGAAACAAAGAAAGGGATTTATTATTTTGACACCAAATACTGCATCTATATGACCTATATCACTGAAAAATATTTTGTACAAGTAATTGAGTTTGAGATAATGGTTGTAGTTATTCCCTGATGCTGTTCTAATGTTGGCCTGACTGAAATATTTAGGGGCAAACTCTTGAACAATTTAGCAGATAAACAATGTTTTGATTTGAAAACAAGCAAACTAGTGATCAAGAGTGTGAGCATAAACATCTGTTACCAGGCAACAGCCACTCTCAGTGATTATTTCGCATGACTCTACAATGTTTCTTTGTTTGAATGTTGTTTAATGCAGCACTCAGCAATATTCCAGCTATATGACCGAGGCCTATAAATAATCAGGTCTGGACCAGACAGTCCAGTGATGGATATTATGAGCAATGATCCACAACATCGGGTAAGATAACACGCAATCAACCAAATCACCTGACACTGAGTGTAGCTGTTGGGGACAGCAAACCTCTCAAAATGAGAACAAAGACATCACAGAAATAGTTTGATGGTTTGATGTTTAACTCCGCAATATTCCAGCTATATGATGGCGGTCTGTAAATAATCGAGTCTGGACCAGACAATCCAGTGATTGATATCATGAGCATCGATCCACCCAATCGGGATTGATGACATGCATCAACCAAGTCAGCGAGCCTGACCACCCCATCCTGTTAGTCGCCTTTTACGACAAGCATAGTCGCCTTTTACGGCAAGCATGGGTTGCTGAAGACCTATTCTACCCCGGAATCTTCACGGGTCTCATCTCAGAAATAAATACATACACATTTCCATGAAAAAAATTAACATCCTGCACTTTAAGCATTTTCAACATCACATAAAAATTTAGCCTAAAAAACATAAAACATATTATCATAACATTTATAATAATTCATATTTTGACTGATACAAGCTGATCGGTAAGCAAATATTGGAAACCCATGAAATGAGTTCAGCCCAATGTAGAATATCTCTCCTCCCTGGTACACAGAGCTTTACTTGGGGGGAACGTTGGCCTACCTGCTTATTGCGGTAAGTGGCCTGTACAAATGGCGTATGGTTGAAGCATGGACTGACAAACTGTGCATCTGAGGAAAACTGTGGGAGAGAAAATACTGATTACTGATATAATAGAACATCAATTATTTACCACTGCCACATTGCTCCCATCCAGGAAAGGGCACATCTTTCTTCTACATACATGTATATTACAGTGGAATAAGCACACAACAAAAATCAATAAAACTGTCTCGCAGAATATACTTTTATTTTAACAATATGAGGCAGGCTTGTTTGTATGAGCTTTACATCAACCTGATTTCCCTGTGCAGTTCTCAGACTGATCCAAATACCTGATTAACAGACTCTACATGCAAACATTTTTGTGTGTGTTTGATAACAGATTAAGTAAAAAATCTAAATATATATAAAAAGTCGTAGTTTGCTGTAGTTCCAACATGCAAGACTCCCTGGTTCTGAATTGGTGAGTGGACATAATCCTTTGTAAGTGACAATGGTATGAGGTGAGCTGAAATGGAGTACAAGATTATTGCTCTTATATAGCGACGACCATTGATGTGTGTGTGAGTGTGTGTGTGGCTGCTTGTACTTGTCCAGACTAATGCCAATATTATAGTGCTAGCCTGCTTATGTACCCTGCTGAAATTTAACTGAATACCCCACTCAGACACAGTGCACTGACTCCCAGCCGACAAGTCCTTGCTTTAGCCCCTTAATGCTGAGCACCAGGCAGGGTAACAACAAGTACCATTTCTTAACGGCTTCTGGTACGAATCAGCCGGGATCAAACCCCTGACCTTCCGCTTTCTGGACAGATGCTCTACTACGGAAGCAGTCAATCAAGGTATGAAGGAGCATCTATGTAGTGAGTGAGTATGGTCTTACGCCACTTTTAGCAATATTCCTGCAATATCACAGAAATGGGCTTCACACATTGTACCCACATGGAGAATTGAACGCGGGACTTCAGCATGACGAGCGAACGCTTTAACCGCTAGCTTACCCCATCGCCCCAGCATCTATGTAAGGGATCATGGTATGTCAGAGCATCAATGTAAGTGATCATGGTATGTTAGAGCATATATGTAAGTGATCATGGTATGTTAGAGCATCTATGTAAGTGATTATTGTATGTTAGAGCATATATGTAAGTGATCATGGTATGTTAGAGCATCTATGTAAGTGATCATGGTATGTTAGAGCAACTATGTAAGTGATCATGGTATGTTAGAGCATATATGTAAGTGATCATGGTATGTTAGAGCATCTATGTAAGTGATCATGGTATGTTAGAGCATATATGTAAGTGATCATGGTATGTTAGAGCATCTATGTAAGTGATCATGGTATGTTAGAGCATCTATGTAAGTGATCATGGTATGTTAGAGCAACTATGTAAGTGATCATGGTATGAAAGGAGCACCAGTGTCACTGATCATGGTATGTTAGAGCATCTATGTAAGTGATCATGGTATGTTAGAGCATCTATGTAAGTGATCATGGTATGTTAGAGCATCTATGTAAGTGATCATGGTAGGTTAGAGCATCTGTTTAAGTGATCATGGTATGTTAGAGCATCTATGCAAGTGATCATGGTATGAAAGGAGCACCAGTGTCACTGATCATGGTATGTTAGAGCATCAATAGTGATGATGACAGGAAAAACTCACTGCAGCAATGTTGACAAAGTCATTTTCTCCCAGGGTGTCGAGGATGGACTTGACTGCCACCTTCATCAGCTGCAGTGCCTGGCCATGAGTACTCCCGCTCCTGCAACAACACACGCTTCCTCTCAACAACAACTCAATGCCTACCCGTAACGTCCTACTTGCTAGACTTCAACATTATTTGGGCATGGTTTCAGTGAGCTGATCTGACCTGTTTGTAGGTCTTGGATCTGGTGGTGAGTTAGTACTCCAGGCCGATCATCTTATTTGTCACAAAAATGTACCATACTGTTGACTGACAACTCAAGACCTCTCCTTCATAACATCAAGTTGAACAGTATTTCAGTTAAATCACAGTGTGTCAGCATGGTAACTGGGAGGAAAGCCTGAGGTGAAGTCTTCCAACTTTACCATTTTGGTGTAACCCACACAGTTGGGTGCCGACAAACCAAGAACATAATAAGGCTGAATCAGGATTCAAACCCAAGATCATAGGTTTCATGGGATAATTTTGTCTATGTGAAAAGAACCAAAAGGCGACTATGCTTGTCATAAGAGGCGACTAACAGGATTGGGTGGTCAGGCTCGCTGACTTGGTTGATGCATGTCATCGGTTCCTATTTCGTGGATCAATTCTCATGATGTCAATAACTGGATTGTCTGGACTCGATTATGCACAGACCGCCGCCATATAGCTGGAATATTGCTGAGTGGGACATTAAACAACAAACAAACAATGTGATACCGATCGTAGTATGCATCCACTCTGTGATGTACCATGTGTCACAGACATGTCCCTACTCTTTACTGTCATGATATCAACCTCAGTCATAAAGGGCAGAAGATACATGTTTCACAGAGCTTTGTCTAAAGATGCTAGTGTCATGAGTGTAACATACCTTCACAAGTGATAATTGGAAATTTTATCATAAATTTTATGTTTATATAAATATTCTATCTCACACTATGCATTTCTTCTTTCTTCTTCGGGTGTGTTTGGGTGAAGTGTTTTTTGTTTTGTTTTAGAAGCTGGAAACATGGTTCAAGCACGTTTCCACATAAGATTGAAGAAGGAATGCATAGTGTGAGATAGAAATAAGTTTAAAAATTTCATTGATGTATGTGAAAGTTTACACCACAAAATGAGCAGGACTCAACACTCACTTATCAATGAGGATCATCATGTCCTTAGGAGAACTGGATCCTTGAGTATACCTGGAAAGCAACGGAGAAACTCATTAGTGATGAAGGTAACCAGGTCTTCTTGCTTAACAATAATCATAATAATCATAATAATCATACTAATTATAGTATGGTATGAAGTGGCCAGGGATCGAACCCCGGACCTTTCGCTCTCCGGACTGGCGAACGCTGTACCACTTAACCAAAGAGGCAGTCGTATACAGCTGTCAGCTGTCATGAGGTATTATCAATATATTAAAACTCCTTACCATGACTGTCTTCTGACATCATAGAGATCAACTGGTCCACGATTCTTCCACGCAGCCCCTGAAAAATGGCAATTTAAGGTTAAGTTCAACTTTCAACAATTCATGCCATAATCAGCATTGGTTTGTGCAAACTAGTGGTCAACAGTGTGAACATTAATCCATTGATTGTCATAGTAACAAGTTTGTCACTCAGCCAAGACTCAATAACTCACATATCACATTGCACAAAACACTATTTCATGTGCTACATGTTCAGTTTTTGTATCAGAACATCTTTTGTTCTTGTTGTGACTCTGACTCCTAATGTCCATGAACTGGGTAATGTAAGGCTAATATTCCATCTGATAATGTTCATGATGCACACTGGGGGCACGGGTGGCCCAGTCGTCTAAGGCGCCGCGATCCGCTGTGCAGAGTTGCGTCCCTTGGGCACGCCAGAAACCTATGATTGTGGATTCGAATCCCGGGTCGCCCAAATTATGTTTCTAGGTTTGTCAGAACCATACCCGTGCTCGTGGGTTTCACCGAAGTGATACCGTCTGGCTTTCCTCCCAAATCAAGCTGACACGCCGTGATATAACTAGAATACTGTTAAAAGCGGCGTTAAACCCAACTCACTCACTCACTCACTCATGATGCACACTAATATTTGATGCGAGGAAGCAAATAAGATTTCAATGCTGCTTCAAATTTAAAAGATATGAATACATCTTCTCTGCAATACAGGATTACATGTGCATGTACCAACTACTGTGATACACAACTGAACCAGCATAGCAAGGAATACGAAGACCTGGCTCATCCTTAAGAGATCTTAATCCCATACTTCAACACTAACTTAAGACAGCTGTATGTCTAAGTTCACATTGTGGAACAGAGCCAAGAATGCTATGTTATTAACACATTGATATTGCAAATTACATACATATTGCGTTCCTGCATTTTCTGAATTTTTACAGACTACATAAAAATATTTCTTATCCAGCCAGATGAGATACCAAGGATGAGGAGAAAAATTTAATACACAACAGTCAACAATAAAGCAGCAGAGGGACGCATTTCAAAAAGTCATCGTAGCTACGACTGTCGTAGAGTTCTCCCTAACTACAACACTGACTTATGACAGTCACAGATATATGATCCCTTTGTGAGGTCCTGAGAGAACAATGTGAGGTTCAAAGATGGATTCCAGTAAAGCAGAACTTAACCATGGGGACAGAGCTTTAGACCAGAGATAACCATCACCTAGCTCGACCCTAGGTGTCTGCACTGGAGAGGCACAACTAGGGGTCAGACACCCTATGGTTGACAGCAGGTGCAGGAAGATCTCCACTCCATGATGCTTGTGAGTAAATGGACTTTTATCAGTTAAAAATAGGGCCCTGTTCCACAAAGCGATCTTAGCGCTAAGGTGATCGTAACTCCCATACTTTAACATAGGCTTATGATAGTCGTAGCGCTAAGATCGCTTTGTGGAACGGAAGCCAGGACTACTAAAGACAATTTGGTTATGGAATACTTGCACTCAGAAATGGAGAAAAGAAGAATATCTGCAAAATTTGAATTCAAATATTAATTAAGATACAATTAAGTGTGGGCGAACATCAGAGTTATCTCTGATATTATCAGTTCCTATTTTCGAGCTTTTTGCTCTCATCGGACTGCTCCTTGTGTACTTGTAGATTACCAGTGGTCACAAGCCATGAACGGTATGATCTAACCCTGGAGCTCCCTAACCCCTCCATAATATGCTGCACAAATTACAAGTCAAGCGCTAGGAAATATGTGATGAACATTGACTGCACTGCAGTTTCAGTGCTTTTACATCTTGTTGTTTATTAACTGGTTTACAAATCTGCAGATTCAACAATCAAGAAAATGTCAAATTTAAACTTCTATTTTAAAGAATTGTTTTAATGACACCGAGTTCGATAATTAAAGAAAATCACCCATTGTTTCCACACCACACTGAGATAAGCTGCACATGAACACGGGCCAGCAATGGTTTGCTGAAATACTATTCATAGTTTTATCGGTGCTCCAAACAGTATGTGGCTTTGTTCCTTTATAAAAACCATAAACGTGTTAAAATTCCCGTCACATGTCACAAACAGAACAAAAAGGAGTAGAGAATTTGAAATTTTAGTTTCGTATCATCATACCATGCATACAGACCTTTTATTCTCACAAAAGCAAAGAAATAATTGAAGAGACTTATCGTCTTTATGATACAACCAAAGATTTTGAGGATCTACAAACCAAATAAAAACAGAAGAAAGGCCTCACCAGGATATGTTCTCATGAAGCCGGCCTGGCTACCAAAGTACTGCCACAGTATATCAGGGTCCTTCTTATAGTTCTCCTCAAACACCTTGTCCAGCTGGGATGTCCAGTTGAGTCCATTGAGGATCTCCAGGTCTGGAATACATCAATACACATCATCAGCACACGGGGCAGAACTCCACAAGCAGTCCTCCCATCAGAGGTTTCTGTCAAATGTCATGTTGCCTTGCTTTGCATTAGACGGATTTCCAAACACACATTTCTTATATTCTGTCAGATCAATCTTGCTGTACAATGTTAACATGAAACTGCCTTCATTTTGCAAAGTAGAAAAATAATATTTAATTCTTGGTTAGAAATTTGTTTTTTTAAATATACTTTGTTTGTGTATGTTATAAATTTTGTTTTAATTTACAATAAACCCTGACAAACTATTTTATTTCGAGCTGCTTTCAGCATACTGTTATTTTGATCAAAACCTGTGGGGTGAAATCAAGAAAACAAAATTGATCTGTCTTCAGCAGTTATACCCAGAGTGTTCAGTTATACCCAGCACATTCTTATTTACAAAAAGGATGATTCAGCATCGATTATTGCAAACAATCTGATAACTGTCATACACAGAAAAGTTCAGCAAACAGCTTCATAATTCTTGAAAACTAATCTTAAGCATCATGCTTCTCAAGGTAACTTTATTGAATGACAGATTAATATTGACATATTGACAAAATGATGGATTTATGTGTGATCAAACATGTAGAATAAACAAAAAACATTATTTGATTTTCGATTTAAGATCAGCACATTTTCATAGGTAATTTTTTCACACAGATTTCATATTCCATGATGCTCGTTTAAAGTCAGCATTTACGTCATTTCACTGAAAAACAAATTCATTTCATTCCATCACTTCTTTTTGAAATCAACATCACTCAATTTCATGACATAACCTTCAATAATACAGATATCATGCCTTCAACATGAAATCAGCTCTGTCAAAAAGTGGAATGAATGAGAAAGACAAGCCCTTTAATGACGCATCGCCCATCTCAGACATCATGTATAATTCATGACCAGTGTTACAAACTACCCCATCAAGTCCTTATCATGTCAACAACAACTTGGTTGAAATGCACCATACTACCAATCAATTTCACATTGACAGAAACGTGTAGGTATCACTGCTGTATGCAGCCATGCGGATCAACCACGATCTATCATTGATGAGTTTGGATGCAACACGATTAAGGAATCAATATGGGTGGTATATATTATCATAAACACTCCAAATCATGCTCTTGCAGTTTGATATGTGAGACTAGCTAGGACTCTTGTCTATTCTAACCATGCTTGGCTCAAACACAGCTAATGCTAGGAGGTGGGAATTGAAATGGGTGTTAACACACAACAGGGAATTCGGCTTGTAACCTTTTAAATGCTTTGCCTCAAGGCCAGGAGGACGTAATTCAACTGCTACCAGAAATCGATATAGTTTGACTAAAATCATTTTTAGGTAATGAGACTTTGGAGGGGGTTGGACAGCACAAAGTTTTGATACATGTTTTTTCACACATTTTGTCGTTCCTCTGAAAAGCGCTTAAAAGAGCTGAAGTATTCTTGCTGTTTTCACATCTATCACTAGTCAGATTCTTTGTACTGCCTCAGCATTAACAACGTGCATCAACAAATGAAATAGCCACAAGCTCTGCAGTTCACCTCAATTGGTGAAATATTTGCAAAATAAGAGACCTAGTTGTATACAGACCAATTTGTTTGTATTGCGGAGTTAATGAATATCAATAACTTTAGTAGTTTATAAATACACCGAACATGTGTGTGTTTGTGTGAGAGAGAGAGAGAGAGAGAGAGAGAGAGAGAGAGAGAGAGAGAGAGAGAGAGAGAGAGGGGGGTTAAGTTTGGTATTTGCCAGATATTCTCACAATTTTCACGTCGAATATCTTTTCTCCCAATACTGATTGCCATATCTCACCCACTTTTGGATGCGATTGTTCGACCATTGAGTTATCTGTGTTGTCAAACTACATCAATGTAGAACAACTCACTGGTCACTTCCTTTAAAAAAATAACGGCGTCCAATTTACATCATCAAGTTGTGAGAGCATGTTCGAATCTCCAGAAATGATGTCATGACAGAACAATGTTTTATCATGAAATAAACCATGCTTCATTCTTCATCGTTCATTGTGATTTATGACATAGGTATCTTGTTAGATTCATGGACATCAACCACTGATCATGAAACTGATCATGATGCTGATGCCGTGATACTAAGTGTATTTCCAGAATAGAAATGTCAGTACCATGGTTACATATACCATGCAATCTGCAATATTAAGTGTACTGATTCACAGAGCTGGGTTTTTTTTGCATCCCCAAGGACTCGAAATGTGAATAATTTTCATCCAATCTCAATCTGTATGCTCAGAGGATGCAATATTTTGTGTCTGAATGAACCCGGTTGATGTAATTAAACAAAATTTGGTGAGTGAGTGAGTGAATATATGGTTTTATGCCGCTTTTAGCAATATTCCAGCAATATCACGGTGGGGGACACCAGAAATGGGCTTCACACATTGTACCCATGTCGGGAATCAAACCCGGGTCTTCGGCGTGACGAGTGAACGCTTTAACCACTAGGCTACCCAACTGCCCCTAACAAAATTTGGAGAGATAATGTTTGAGGGACGAGTGATGATTTGTTTGTTTGTTTGTTTGTTTGTTTATTGTTTAACGCCGCACTCAGCAATATTCCATCTATATGACAGCGGTCTGTAAATAATCAAGTCCGGACCAGGCAATCCAGTGGTTAATATCATGAGCATCGATCCATGCAATTGGGATACGATGACAAACATCAACCAAGTCAGCAAGCCGGACCCTGACCAACCGATCCAGTTAGCCACCTCTTACAACAAGCATAGTCGCCTTTTATGGAAAGCATAGTCGCCATGGGTTGCTGAAGACCTGTTCAAAAAAGCAATGATGTCTAACCGCGAAGTTATGGCTGATGTCAGTCTACAGCTTCAGGACCAACTGACAACTGACTCTTAAAGAAACCCCAACCCTATGTTTAACTGATCCCCACCCCAAATTTTAACTGACCCCATCTCATTCTTTTTCTGTCTCCCACACAAGTAGGACATAATGTTTCGACACGACACGTTTCATCAATAATATGCATGGCAACATTATCATGCTATTTCTTCATGCAGAAAAGTCCTTTGAGTCGTGACAATCATATGACCTACTTATGTATTGACTGGGTGTTTGCTATGACATAGTCACAGGTGGCAGTATAATAGACTGACGTCAGTGTCCTGTTAGTAACACCATCAACACTAGTCACACCTTTTTAACAACTACACTGGAAAAATGTTCTTTTCAATATGTCAAATGAAGTTAATTTAATGCTCAATGGATTGACATAAAGTGAAGTGAGGTGAGGTGAGGTGAAATTGGGTTTAACGTCGCGTCCAACATAAAGTGAAGTGTATTGGGGCTTAGCATTGCCTTTCAACATATAACATGGATGCCTACATACTGAACGAAAACTGTTAAGGATCATGAAAACTATATGCTGTGTGCTCAGTTTTCATTACAAAAATACCTCCCACGTGTGCGTGTGCGTGTGTGTGTGTCACAGACAAATGCCTATTTTCTAGTGCTAGCCCACAGAGTTACCATGCCTAAGTTTAACATGGACACCCCACTCAGACACAGTACACTTGACTCCGAGCCAACCAGTCCTTGTTTTAGCCCCTTAATGCTAGGTAGGGTAAGAACAAGTACCATCTGTTAATGTCTTTTGGTATGACACGGCTGGGGATTGAACCACTGATGTTCCACTCTACAGGCCCTACCCGCTCGACCATGGAGTTAGTTTAGATTATACGATACAATAGTAGCTATCCAACATCATAATTATATATACATCATCTACAAGTTAAATAACCATGTAACTTTCAGTTACTTTATGGTGACAAAACATAAACTGAAGATGAAACATTAATTACATCCTGCATTAAACATGTTAAAAAAAACCCTGTCCATAACAAAAGATCTACTATATGTCACCAAAATATTGGTTATTATGATAAGGTGTACAGGGATTTACGTAGACCTCTTCAGAGGCCAATTTATGTAGACCTGCTCAGTGGTCAATTTATGTCGACCTGCTCAGTGGTCAATTTATGTAGACCTGCTCAGTGGTCAATAAATGTAGACCTGCTCAGTGGTCAATTTATGTAGATCTGCTCAGTGGTCAATTTATGTAGACCTGCTCAGTGGTCAATTTATGTAGACCTGCCCAGTGGTCAATTTATGTAGACCTGCTCAGTAGTCAATAGATGTAGACCTGCTCAGTGGTCAATTTATGTAGACCTGCTCAGAGGCCAATTTATGTAGACCTGCTCAGTGGTCAATTTATGTAGACCTGCTCAGAGGCCAATTTTTGTAGACCTGCTCAGTGGTCAATTTATGTAGACCTGCTCAGTGGTCAATAGATGTAGACCTACTCAGTGGTCAATTTATGTAGACCTGCTCAGAGGCCAATTTATGTAGACCTGCTCAGTGGTCAATTTATGTAGACCTGCTCAGTGGTCAATAGATGTAGACCTGCTCAGTGGTCAATTTATGTAGACCTGCCCAGTGGTCAATTTATGTAGACCTGCTCAGTAGTCAATAGATGTAGACCTGCTCAGTGGTCAATTTATGTAGACCTGCTCAGAGGCCAATTTATGTAGACCTGCTCAGTGGTCAATTTATGTAGACCTGCTCAGAGGCCAATTTTTGTAGACCTGCTCAGTGGTCAATTTATGTAGACCTGCTCAGTGGTCAATAGATGTAGACCTACTCAGTGGTCAATTTATGTAGACCTGCTCAGAGGCCAATTTATGTAGACCTGCTCAGTGGTCAATTTATGTAGACCTGCTCAGTGGTCAATAGATGTAGACCTACTCAGTGGTCAATTTATGTAGACCTGCTCAGAGGCCAATTTATGTAGAACTGCTCAGTGGTCAATTTATGTAGACCTGCTCAGAGGTCAATAGATGTAGACCTGCTCATTGGTCAATTTATGTAGACCTGCTCAGAGGCCAATTTATGTAGACCTGCTC